TGAGTGTCATTCTGTGTATTTGAATGTATGTCCTTAAGTGTTTGTATATCTGCATGTGTGTCTGCGTGTATGTATGTATATTTTTGTTAGTTTGTGTGTCTGCATTTGCAGGTGTGTCAGTGTGTGTATGTGTGTCTGTGTAACAGCATGTGTGTCCATGTATGTATATGTACGTGTTATATGGTGTTTATCTGCATGTATGTCAGTGTGTGTATGTTTGTATATCTGCATGTTTGTCAGTGTATGCACGGTTGTGTCTGTGTAACTGTCACCCCCTTCACCCTTCCACACTCACAATAACTCCACCAATCCTGTCACTCACCCATGCCATACTAACCACCCATCGCTCTGCCATATCCACCCTATTACCCTCACTTTCTCTGTCACTGTCACTCACTCCCTCAATCTTGTCACACTCGCCCCTTTCACCCTGCCACACTCACCGCTCCAATTCTGTCATACTCAACCCCCAACAATGCCACACTAACCCTGTGGAGCGTGAATGAGACACATGGAGGGTGTAAGGAGCTGAGACATATGGGGAGATGGCCCCCAGGGAAATTTTCACACCAGGGCCCCATGGTTTCTAGTTACGCCTCTGTTCTACATGCTTTATAAGCAAAGATAACTGCTGGTCTACTTAAACATTCAGGGATAGACTCACCACAAAAAGGCTCCAAAAAAGGTAGGAAACCTTTCCTTTCTCTACTTTAAATAGGATATAATCTAATCTATGAATACTTCTTCCAACATTGCCAACATCTAAACTTGTATAGAGTGTAATAGGAACACTCGTTTGGGATTTAGTTAAGGTTTAGACTCTAGAACCCTTAATACACTGCTCAAAAAAAATAAAGGGAACACAAAAATAACACATCCTATATCTGAATTAAATATTCTTCTGAAATACTTTGTTCTTTACATAGCTGAATGTGCTGACAACAAAATCACACAAAAATTCTTGATTTGGAGGTCTGGATTTGGAGTCACACTCAAAATTAAAGTGGAAAAACACACTACAGGCTGATCCAACTGTCCTTAAAACAAGTGAAAATGAGGCTCAGTAATGTGTGTGGCCTCACGTGCCTGTATGACCTCCCTACAATGCCTGTGCATGCTCCTGATGAGGTGGCGGATGGTCTCCTAATGGATCTCCTCCCAGACCTGGACTAAAGCATCTGCCAACTCCAGGACAGTCTGTGGTGCAACGTGATGTTGGTGGATGGAGCAAGACATGATGTCCCAGATGTGCTCAACTGGATTCAGGTCTGGGGAACGGGCGGGCCAGTCCATAGCATCAATGCCTTCATCTTGCAGGAACTGCTGACACACTCCAGCCACATGAGGTCTAGCATTGTCTTGCATTAGGAGGAACCCAGGGCCAACCGCACCAGCATCTGGACTCACAAGAGGTCTGAGGATCTGATCTTGGTACCTAATGGCAGTCAGGCTACCTCTGGCTAGCACATGGAGGGCTGTGCGGCCCCCCCAAAGAAATGCCACCCCAGACCATTACTGACCCACTGCCAAACCAGTCATGCTGGAGGATGTTGCAGGCAGCAGAACGTTCTCCATGGCGTCTCCAGACTCTGTCACGTTTGTCACATGTGCTCAGTGTGAATCTGCTTTCATCTGTGCAGAGCACAGGGCGCCAGTGGTGAATTTGCCAATATTGATGTTCTCTGGCAAATGCCAAACATCCTGCACGGTGTTGGGCTGTAAGCACAACCCCCACCTGTGGACGTCGGGCCCTCATACCACCTTCATGGAGTCTGTTTCTGACTGTTTGAGCAGACACATGCACATTTGTGGCCTGCTGGAGGTCATTTTGCAGTGCTCTGGCAGTGCTCCTCCTGTTCCTCTTTGCACAAAGGCGGAGATAGCGGTCCTGCTGCTGGGTTGTTGCCCTTCTACGGCCTTCTCCACGTCTCCTGATGTACTGGCCTGTCTCCTGGTAGCGCCTCCATGCTCTGGACACTACACTGACAGACACAGCAAACCTTCTTGCCACAGCTCACATTGATGTGCCATCCTGAATGAGCTGCACTACCTGAACCACTTTAGTGGTAGCATGAGACGGAGTCTACAACCCACACGAGTGAAAGCACCGCCAGCATTCAAAAGTGACCAAAACATCAGCCAGGAAGCATAGGAACTGAGAAGTGGTCTGTGGTCACCACCTGCAGAACCACTCCTTTATTGGGGGTGTCTTGCTAATTGCCTATAATTTCCACCTGTTGTCTATCCCATTTGCACAACAGCATGTGAAATTTATTGTCACTCAGTGTTGCTTCCTAAGTGGACAGTTTGATTTCACAGAAGTGCGATTGACTTTGAGTTACATTGTGTTAAGTGTTCCCTTTATTTTTTTGAGCAGTATATAATAAAAAAAATTTTTTTTGTACACAGAATTGACAAACATCCTTAGTGCGCCACAACAGCGGCATCAGGGTAATTAGACGTTCATTTTACAAGTTGTGACATTCACTATTCAGGCACATTTTTGAGTTAGTAGAAGCAAGGTTTCAACAGTTTAGATTTCTTCTTAGTTTAGGTAAGTAAGCAAGGTATACATGTCAAGGAGAAAATGATCAGAGGAGTAACAAAGAAGGAAAACATGACACGTACAGTCGATTTTAAAATAGTCAGTGGACTTGTGTGGGTCATGTAGTTATACAAGCATGCTATGCTAGGTAGTGTGTATTTAAGCTCACTGACCACTTTCATGCAAGTCCTGCTGGCTAAATGGACACAGTGCTTGCAGCAGAAACAGTGTCATGGCATTCTATGGAGCTGTACAATTTTACGGTTTGTAGAATAAACAGGTGTAACAAGCCTTAAATTTTAGTATAAGGTAAGATCAGTTAGGTATGTCTAATTTAACAAGAAACATCAGATTGAGTCCCCTATTAGTTCCCCTGGTAGATGGGAGAGAGAAAGAGGTGTACATTAGGGGCTTAGAGCTCTGTTACACAGATAATGCTTGCACGGTTTGGTAGGGTTAGACATGACTAGTGTTATTATCAGAGGCATAGAGGCTATGAACAGAGCATGGAAAATACACACATCAATGCACTGTCGTTATTAATGTCATGAAGTCGTAAAGTACATTAAGTGGTTAGTCTTCACCACTCCACCTTCTCTTGTAGGCCTCAGCTCGCTGTCACGGTTCCCGTGTGTTTCGGATGTCAAATTTGGTATCCGCAGGTGTGCGCCGGCTTCCCCAGGCTGTAGTGCTTTTTTGGGAAGGTGTCCCAGCCCATCATGCTTTTAGTGTCCGTGCGGCAGGAGTTCGTGCAAAGCAGGTCTTGCTTGCTTGCTGGTCAGGCATCCTATATAATGAGTTTTAACCCAGCTTCACCATGTTCGAGAAGAGAAATTGACACAAGGCAGATGCCTGAAGCAATTGTTATAAAGACATCTGCATTGCAATGAGACATCTTTTGAATCAAGTATTAATGTACAAAGTAGACATTCAATAGCCTGCTCACATAGAACATTCCACCCTGCTCCTGTCCAGTTTTATCTTTTCAACCCTCTGTTTGATTTTAGTCCTTGACACGTTCTTCTCACATCACCCCATTATCAATCTTGTTTCACAACCTGGTTTCCTCATCTGAACCAGTATCTGCTTCAGGATCATTGCAGGTGGCAAAGAACAGACGTTTTAGCTCAAGGGTAAATTGTACACTCCTCCCAATTGTATCGATTAAGCCGCTCCTAAAACTTGCTTAATACCATGCCCAAGTCCAATCCTAAACTCTTTGTTCTATAAATCACATTATGACTTTATACACTCCGCACTTGAGTGTTTAGTAGATACACCCCCAATGAAAACATGTATGCATTTTTAATTTGGGGTATTTCTAAAACAAGCTTGTAAAAGCGGAATATCTTGTCTGCAGCCTTTGCAAGCCCTCCCCTTCTAACCCAGTCCATACCTTCTGTGACTGCTCAATCATAGACTTCCTACTGCACCTCAGTGAGAAGTCTTTGAAAGGAAGGGCTTTCAACAATTGCCTGAGCCTTGAGGTTAGCTCCAGTGACTTAAACAAACCAGGAAGTAACAGGGCCAGTTTATTGATTGACAACCAGGGGGGTCTAGCAATGTAAATTTACAAAGTGCCAATTTCGATTTAAATCTGTACTTTTTTCTTCTCCACTTCACAAAAGCAGGACACTCTTCACACACAAAGCACTTAAGAAAGCTGAAGAGCAGATTGCTTCAGGGGTGTTGAGTGCCCCTTTAACTTCCAATATTGTTACCACAGTCACAAATTATTTAATTGTAGATGCGATTTCTTTCTCAGTATTATAGGAGATCTGTGGCTATCAATGAAATATTACCAGAATTAGCCCAGGGGTTTATTTGGACCATACTTGGGGGCTCCAGCCCCTGTTAGCCCCTTCCCTAGCAACGCCATGATTTGACTCTTGAGAAGCTCTGCTTCCTACAAAATTAAATTGGGTTGTAATTACTGTAACTTGTGAGCATTGTGTGACTGAACATTGATTGCATGTTCATAGTTTGTTAACAAGTACATAGTCAGAATATATTCTCACATGAATGGGGTAGGATCAAGTGGATTGTGAAAATGAATGCTTATATACTAATACAAGGAACCATTACTTTACTGAGAGGGTAGTGGATGCATGGAATAGCCTTCCAGCTGAAGTGGCAGTGGTTAACACGGTAAAGGAGTTTAAGCATGTGTGGGATAGGCATAAGGCTATCCTAAATATAAGATAAGGCCAAGGACTAATGAAAGTATTTAGAAAAATGGGCAGACTAGATGGGCCGAATGGTTCTTATCTGCTGCCACATTCTATGTTTCTATGACATAAAGGCTGGTTATTTTCTTTTATAGATCACACAGCTATAGATCTGCCTTTCTACTATAAACGTTCAATATCCAATTGTGAAATACAGTGCAAACAAATTTGACCCAAGTTTAAAAAAACACAAAACAAAAAAAACACAAAAAACTTGACACGTTAACATGAATTAAAGAAGACAATTTTAATGTCTACAAACGGATTTACAATATATTCAGAAATAGAAAAATATTAAAAGTAAACATTTTCATGGATGTGCTGTTGAAGTTCGATTGGTATTTGTAAGACTTGTGTGTTTGCAGACTCGTTTCGGATCAAAATAAAAAAATACTCTCCAAGCATTACCATTAATAACCATTATTAAATAGTTAATAAAAACCTAGCCACAGTAAGAACAACGCAGCAAGGAATAGAAGGGATCTATTTAGTATATTAGTTAGAACACACATTTTATACAATACCCAACAAGTTGTCTTTAGTACCAACATATACAGATTGCTTTGCTATGGACACTCCTCAAACATTTATTTTGGGGACTTATAAAAACGCAAATGAAAACTGGAATAAACAATGATGTGCAACACAATTCTAGTATTACATAATTATTATTTGACCTTATAGAAATAAACTATATGTTAACAAGCAATGCTTTAGAATACACATGGATCATTTCTACCATCATCCTTTACGTACTTAGCTGTAATCTTCTGGGGAGCGTTTGACCAAACCTACCAAAGTCAGATTATTGAGGGCAGTCTTTTTGCCATTTTCTATCAGATCATGCATGATATCGTTTTTTTTGAAAATTGGAGAAAAAGAATTCTATGTTTGAAGAAAAATATACCCATTTTTAGGCTTTATCTTGCAAGTTAATATAAAAGCAGAGAGATGGTTCATACCTAATGGAAAATAAGCAAATATGGTATACGCAAATAAAGCAAAAAACTGCTTCTTCCAGGAAACGTCCATTGCCAATATTGGTTCTAAATACCTTAAGGTTGCAACTCAGCACGTTAAAAAAAAATATGGCAGCAAAAAATAATTTAGTTCATAACTTTTTTGTATCACTACCTTTCTCTTTTAGGGAAAATCCATGCTATCATACCAGCTATCTACTAAGGCCAAGAAGTTGACAGACGTGACCAAGAAATGGACGCCAATTTCTTAACTGCAAGATTATTATTTTTTTCTCTTTAATATAAATTATACAGCACATTCCAATTGGTGATATTTTGTTTATTAAGTTGTATCCCTGATTAGGAATGTTGAGTAGTACATGAATGAAAACTATGAAAGACAACAGTATGAAAAGAAATCAAAAATCGCATTAAGTGCACATAGTGGTTAATTAATGGTCCTTCATGCCATTACAGCTATTCCACCAAGACAGGAAAGTGGTTCCAACATTTATGACTTTAAAAAGCTTGTGAAAGGTAAGGCACATTTAGTTTCAAGATAAAGAAAGGCTGCCTAGTGCAGTAGTATTATGTTCTGTTGGCACAGTCGAAGATTCATCTTGGAAGTTTACTGAAAATAGAACACATTGTAAACACAATATGGCTTGTTTCTTTAAGGCTTTGGTCGTTGACATGTAAAAATAGGATATCCAAACAGCATGTTGCAAGGATACTTAATTGTCTGTATAATAACTCATTTCGACAGTTTTTTTTAGTTCATCCCACATATTTTCCAGCCCTGAAAATCATTTCCAGCGGTGACGCACCAAAGAAGATTCGTCATTGACCACTTCAGGGTCATCTCTGTTGCGTCTGTTTGGAAGAAGCAGCAAAATAACGAGTACCAAGAGTATAATGCCACAAAAGGTCATGAGGGCATATGATATGATCCACATAATGGGTTCCCTGAGTGGGTTTCTGGAGATACAGTTGCTTGAAACATCCTGAGTACTGAACGGTCCCGAAATAGAAGAGACAGTCATTCCATCAACCTCTGGAAGAAAAAGAATTACGAAACAATATTACATTTTACGTCTATGTGTGTCAAGATCAAATAGAACAAGCAATAGAAAAAGCAGATGTAGATCATGAGCATTACTTGTGGAAATGACTTCCTTATATTTTATAGTTTCAAATGGTAAAGCTGCAGCGTTTGATATCAAATGCACACCTGATTTCATCAAAGATGGAATCCTACATAAATTAAGAATGGGGGTTTATTTATATGGAGGTTTTAATCAGTTACCAAATCAGGAGGAATGAACTTCCAGATTAAAAAAATGCTTTCTATTATTCACATCCATGTAGCGAATGGGTTACTAAAACCTTGAGAGGGGGGACCTTTCAGATGTAAAGAAGGATCACCTGTATCACCTGTACAGTCTCAGCAATGGAACTAGGGCTGACTTTTCAGGATTACCAATGTGCATCTTCGTTATCGGTACTTTTGTTAATTCTTAACTCTGTTTAGTATTAGGTGTCCTTGAATGCCCAGTTGTATGGTTTTAGCTAAACGGTTAGAAATTGGCATATATTCATGCAAAACTTCTAGTACCAAGCAGACATTGCAATTAACAGATTGGGGCTTCACTGCATGACTCTTACTGATCAGCACAAGCGATTTTCTCTTGCTAACCCTCATAATTCTAAGCTTTAACACACTATGTGTATACCACAGAACATATGCTATAACTACTTTTCTTTATTTTCATCTGTAACTAGAGGTTTGAGAAAGGAACTCACTACAAGTTCAATTTAATTTCACTAGACATGTAGGTGACCTCTCCTTTCTCCCTCTATGTTCTAATCTTTGTAACTGAAGAGATCATTACCTTTCCTACGATACTTTAAGATAGTTACTTCTTTTAGTCATTACTTCATGACTAAGTATCTTCCTGTTTGACTAGCTTTGTAAAAGGCATGCACCATTTTGTATATATCGTTATCCCTTGTATATATTTTCCCTATCCTTTGTATCCCTGAGATTTAAGGTTAAATTTTTTAACTATATCTATTAAACGTTAGATTTAAAGTGCTTAGATTATTTAGGATCCTAGGTAGGTAGGAAGGATGGACGGAAGCGCTCTCTCTGGTACTTTTAGCAACATCCACTAGATGGCACCAAACAACAGTTTATCTCAATGCTCAGGAATTTAAAGGCGAGAAGAATGCCATTAATCTTCATTATACAATCTGCACTTACAATCTATAAAGTATTTAGTTGGTGATGTAGATCTGACAACATTAAAGGAACAATCTGGGCACCACAATAACATCAACATTATGTTGTTATGGTGCCATGAGGACCCTAGCACAGAGTTACCTTCAGGGGTTAAATTGTTAACAAACAGTTTAAACCCAAAGTCTTCTGTCCGGCGCTCGTCTGCTCTGCCGCAGTCCGAAACTTCAAACAGGAGGTCTCAGACAAGAGTGCCGCTGAGAGGCTGAGAGCGTCAGCCGATCACTCATTTATGTGAATGGGGAGATGCTAATAAATCAGCAGTCCCCTGTCTGAGGTTTATTCTTAATATTTATTAATATATATGCTTATATATGTGTATACTGACAGGGCTTTAAAAAAAAAAAAAGAAATCAAGAAAGAAACAGAGGGATTTTCAAAACACAACCCACAGTGGACTATATAGTTGAAAGTTATTTAGTAAGAAAATACTATTCTAAAATATACAGAGATTTACTCATTTCCGTCATTGCCCCAAATATACAAGGCAGTTGGTTCCTTATTTGATAGCATAAACACAATTTCTTATACAGTGAATGGGAAAAGATTGTGCACACACACACACAGTCAGACACACAGCCAGACACAAACACACATACAGACACACACAGCCAGACACAAACACACACACACTAGCTCCTTCTTATCCCTAATTAGACAACAACCTAATAAAAAGACAAGGCATAAATACCCTCAGTCAGAAAATAACTAAACCTGTCCTATAGGGACAGGAAAGGAACAAAGACCGTAAATAAATTTTCTTTTTGGCTTACTCGAGTGTTACCCTCTACCCCAAGTGAATTCGGCCTCTCTTCCTTGGAAACCTTTAGTATATGGCCCTGTGCAAAGATGCCCCCCCTAAAGAATCCCCTATATAGACCAGGAGTAGCAAGTATTATATGTCTTTAACTAGCACACCACACACACAAACACACACACACAAACACACTCCCCAGCCCAATTTTTTCTTTCTATTGACCAACAGGTGGCAGTAGTTTACACACAGATACATAAATGAGACACACACACATATAACACTTACACAAACAAATACACAACACACACATTTTTAGCCACCCTTTGGTGCGGAGGGGTGGCTTTCCTGGGGTCCAGTGTCATCTGACTAAATCTGATGGAGGTGGGTCCAGACTCCATGCTCTTCCTCCTTTCCTCTCTGTATACCTCATTGGTAAGCTGAGAGAAAGTGCGTTGTACTCCCTTCCTCCCAGCACCACGGTATGACATAGAGCAGGGGCCCGGTCACGCCGTTTAATGGCCGCAGCACCGGACCAGGCCCTTGATTAAATATGGCCATCGGGTGGCCCCTTCTCAATCCGCTCTTTTTAAAGTACATGTGCAAATTCCAGAGGGGTGCCCTTGCCCTTCCCTGTGGACGCCCATGTGTGGTCCCTATGCATCCAAGTAATTTCTACCCTTGTGAGCCCCCTCAGAGCTCGTATGAGGGATCGTATATGTGAGAAAAGCTATGTGTTATATGGAAGCCTAATAGAAAGGATAGTTTTACTTCGCATGTTTCCTCATGATCACATTTTGTGTTTTTATTTCTCTATCCTGAATATTAATTTTAGACTTGGGGTATAAAAAAAAATAAAAAAATAAAAATCATGGCTTAGGGTTCCCTATTGATCATTAAATGATAGAATTTCAGGTTTAAGAAACAAATCTAAGATTTTAGGGTTAAGATCAACAGCTATACAAGAATTCAGAATTAGTAAGGGAAATGGAACCTAAACACTCACATGATCATTTTAGAGTATCCGCTTGACCACAGTTTTCATCTTTTATAATCCTTATATCTTGTACTGCTCCTTTTTGTTTTTAAAAAAAACAAGAGTAATTCTCATGTTTTTTAGCTTTGTTTTTCTATGTGATGCATGTTGAGCACCGTACACAGATTGGTTGCTCTGCAAGTATAGGTTTTTTTTCTGGAACGTTTAAAATTTGCAGGCACTAGTTTTAACATGTTTTTGTATATTTTGTATATATCCAAATAAAGCCAATTTTCAACTCTATATTCTGCACAAATATAACGTGACAATTTGTAAATATGTTTTGTTCCTTAAAGGACCATTGAAATCACCCAGACAAAATTACCTCAATAACGTGGTCTGGGTACAGTGGCCCTGTCATTCTAACCCTTCAATGTAAAACATTGCAATTTTCTAGGCTAAACACGCATCTAGTGGCAGTTATACTGAGAGCTACAGCAGGTTTTGGCTGTGTTAGAAGGGGAGGGCTTGCCAAAGCTTCTGACAAGAGATCTATAGCGTTTACATGTTTTATTTATACCTCCAATGAATCATAATTAAATGCATGCATATATTCATTGAGGATATATAGCTACTAAACCGGGATTTATTTTTTTTAAATTGATTTTTATTTACTATTTTTTGCCCAGTGGCGTTTCTTAAGAAAAATATCAAGCACACCAGCCTGACCCACTAGTATAGATAAGAGTGCGCTTTTAACCCCCTCCCCCCCCAAAAAAACCCCAACTGTTTTGAACGCCCTGGGGTTCATTCACTAAACACCGAACTGCAGTGAACTAAAATCCAAATTACATAATTTAGGCTACAGAAGCCAAGCTCGTGGTATATTTGGAGCGGTTTATAAATTCAGCGGTTGTTGTCCTTTGTTTCTTTAAGCATATCTCCCTTAAATCCCAGGCTCAGTGACACAGCAACAACACCCCAAAAAGCACATCGTCAGCCCCATATGCAACATATAAAGTTATACCAGGGCCTTTGACCCATGCAAAAGTACATCACAATTCGCTTTAGGGGCTACCCTGGGCAGGGCTGGACACAGTGCTTGCCAGTCACACTCACACATGCCGCCTTTTTGAGTAGCACGCAAACATTTCCGAGGGATTTAACCCTTTTCTATGGGAAGTAGGCCAGCTCCTTATCGCTACCAATTCTTGGTCACGCACCCCCTCCATAACTCACATTGGGCTGTATGGAGAAGGAATAGTGCAAAGAGGCTGTAAGTTGAATATTGGAAGTTTAACTTTAGAATCGACAACCTATTTTAAGGGCTAATCATGCTACCCCTCTTTTCTAATTTTAAATATGTATTTAAATGCCACATTTCCACAAAGTTACCTATAATGCATTCTAAAGCAGTTTCTTTCAATAGAAATAGTCTATTAGTATCAAATCGTATCCAAATGTTCCTTTGCTCCCTATAGCTACGCAGGTTTGTCCATTGTTCTGTACAGTGTGCACACGTTCTTGTTCTCCTTTATCACTATGGTGTTACACTCAGAACACCAAAACAGAAACACTTCCATATGGTTCTCCTTGCCTCGATTCTGTATATTACTTCTCCAGCAGCTCAGATTTTATCAAGTTTAAAGTGGTATACGGATTAAATTTATTTATTTATTTTTTTAAATTGAGGAACGGTGTATTTTTCCTATTGAGTGTGGAACTTTCATAATGGAATTTGCAAGCAGCAAAATAAGCTCCAAGATAGAGGAGTTTCAAAGATTTGGTTAAACAGTGCATTTTGTAAAATTTGTTACATTTCTCAATTAGCCTGATGTAAAACCAGAAGGTTCCTAAACCAGTCCTCATGATCCAGAACCAATCCATGATTGGTCAGTATCACCATTAGTATAGAACATTGAAATGCACAAATCCTGGACTGTAACTGGACCACAAAGACTGGTTTGGGAACCACTGACTTAAAACAACAATCCTCCAGGCACCATCACCACTACAGATCACCAAGAGTGTTCATTTAACGAAGAACTGTCAGATAAATGCACTCTGGTTCACACTTACCTGTTGGCTCTCATGACTCTACAATAAACAAGAGAGCTTGCTTTTCTACTTACATTTGCTAAAATGTGCTAAGCTAGAGTCCCTACGGTTTATTTTATACAAAAACAAAGTGCTTAATGCACGGAAGTGACTGTTAGCAACTATTCCAGCCAGTGTACTGCAGTAGAAAAGATTGCTGCTCCCGTGCAGGCAATACAGTGATATTCATCATTAAAAATTTGATGCATCTTTTCCATCTGCCACTGAAGAAGTTAACCATAGTGTCCTACAATATTTGCAGATATTGGAAGATACTTTGGGGGTTTATTAGAAAAATGAAACATATCATGTACTATGAAAATCATTTGTCCACTTGGTTTCACTTAAAGGGACACCATAGGCACCCATGCCACTTCAGCTCATTGAAGTGGTCTGGGTTCAGTGTCGCATCACCCTTAACTCTGACCATGTAATTATTGCAGTTTTTAATAAAAACTACAATAATTAACTGCTAGGGTTAACTCCTTCTCTAGTGGCGGTCTAGCAGACTGCCACTAGAGGGAGTTCTGGTCACCTAAATGACACTGACATCCTCACACTATGCAAGAGGACTTCCAGTGTCACTGGAATCCCCATTGGAAAGCATTGAATGAAGAGCAGAGGGGCCGGACGGTGAGGGAAGCAAATTTTTATTAGGAAAAAAATGCTTTCCGAATTCAGTGTAAAATGCAAATAAGTTGACCCACAACCCATGTAATTCATAAATGTTGGTATAGGAGGACTGTCGGTTTTAGATTTCTGTAAGTATTCTGGTCAATTCACAGAATTTATTGGGACGTTGTCAGTTTAGAGCCATTACTTTTCTCATCCTGGAAAGATAACGCACATTGTTTCCACAAAGAAACAGACTGTGCTGAAAGATGAGAACCGGCCTGTTTATTTGGATAGCCTTTAAAGAAATCATTGACCTCATCGTGGTTATTTGTTCTTCTGTTCCAAGATCTTTTTCTTTTCAAAGAGGAAGAATATTGCAGAACAATGCACAGAAAGTAAATAAAAAAAAGATACAAATCAGTAACAAAAATTAAGTAATTTAAATAAAGAGGAAAGAGGTGTTAAGGGCTCAGGTTTGAGCAGTCTTGAACTGACACTCGAAGAACCAACACACATTTGGTTTTAGTGTCAAAATATATTTTTTTTAATGCTCAAAAGGATTGTAGTCTGTGAAATTCAGGCTGCTTCAGTTTAGCTTACTGGGATAGGGGGAAGGCTAAAAAAGCATGCTTATGGTACAGCATTTGGCAATAGATTTGTTTAGAAAGATATTTAAGTTAAACAAAAAACAAAACAAAAAAATACACATGAATGAGACAAAAACCTATCAAACGCAAAAAACATGTGTTGGTACCCAGAGTATACCTTTAAGAGAGAGTTTGAATCGGGTGATTACGGCAAGGTTTTATTAACCCTTACACTCTGTCGGTGGGGCCACAAGGGGACGGGGGAAGAACGAAGTGCAGTGCTACAAATACAGCTTTGTATTCTGAGCACTATATTTTCCCTTTAAATGTATTGTAATCAGGAATTAAGACAGCTTCCCAGATATCTTACTATAAACAAATATAAAAAGTAGAAGGAAGTGTAATATAGGAGACAACATTGGGAGGGCAAATTATGAAGGTGGAGACAGTAACTTAGATTCACATCGTGGTTTACATTTAAATTAGTCGACTTGCTCCTTTACCCAGTATGTAACCTGTGATAAAGCTATGAGTAAATGAAGCTCTGAAAAGGCAGGGCAGACCTCGTGTTGCACATATGGTCTGTAGCCACGCTTTCTATAAGCATTACTTTGTTGGCATGTTCTTGGACAAGTTCTCTGACTCACTTTGCCATCACCAGAAAAATATATAACCAGCGATCCACCATTTACCCATTGATCTGGACAATGTGTTGGAATAAACCGGAGATAACACATTTTGACATGCCATTATCATTCCACTAGGTTTGTAGGAAGAAGGAGGAAAAGCTGAGTAACTTGGAATCAGATAAGGTATAACAGATTAAGCATTAGAAACACCTTATGCTAACAGAAACCATGTTTTCTGATAAATACATTGCTAACTAGAACCATAATTCCTACCTGCACAGCTGCTGACAGCAAAGCCAACTCTCTTCTCTGCTCGGTCAAAGATGACATAGAAACCTTCCATGACAATGGCTCCAAGTACCAAAGCGTTGGTGGATTGAGAGATTCCAAATCGGAAGCAGTTGAGGCTCTCACGGATTGTCACCGCTGGCTGAATGTATAGCTACAGGATAAAGTAATTCGAGATCAGAGATGTACAAGTTGCCAATATGTCAAAAAATAAATATAATTCTAAACTGGGACAGACTTTGGTTATTTCAAAATTAATGTTAAAGGTTACACAGACCAACCTCGGCATGTTCTCGTGCCTCATAAAGTCACATCCAGCTTCAATTTCATAGAATGTATAAATAGAATTTAGAATGACTGTATCAGAGTTTAGTCATAGTCTTCAAAATATATATTTTTTTTATTATGGTTAATTTCTCAACAGACACAGTAGTGCTTCTCCTTATATTTGAAACCATATGTTACTTCTCGGTTTGTTCATTAAAAGTACATTTCTGTTAAAGGGAACATATAGTCCCAAAAACAGTTATTTTGGGACCATAAGTTCCATTCTGTCCACCCCCTTTGCTATGTAAAATGAAGTTAAACATAACTCACCACCAGAGGCGGTTCTCCAATTAGGCGGTTTAGGAGGGTGAATAAGGCCTTGTGCAGTTTGGGGCCTCGTTTTCAATAACCCCTTCACACCAGTACTTATGTATACACGACTTCCAGGTTATGCAACCATCCCCACAATTGTGTATAAACGATTGGCATAATTGCAAATTACATTTATTTATTGCCAATTAATTTTGTTTGCAAATTATGCTACAACTACAGCTAGAGCTCACAATGCAGGGGCACAGGAAGCTGTGACAATGCAAGCTTCTGAACAATGAATGCAGAGACTGACTCTCTGTATCCAGTGCTGCAAGCCCGCCTTTCAATTTGGAGAATGCTCCTTACACACACACACACACACACACACACACACACACACACACACACACACACACACACACACACACACACACACACCACACAACACAATTATTTTACACTTTGGGTGTTAGTAGGTCCTCATGCTTGAATTTCGTCTAGGGCCTCAAAGTCTAGAGCCGACTCTGCTCACCACGCTTCCAGCTTCAGTGATGTCAGCATCCAAAACTAGATCACCCACAATCTGCTCCAATCCATTTCTTCTCATATAGAAGCAATGGATTAGAAGTAGAACTAGAAGCAGTATTTAAGTTTTATTTGGTCCATGGGGAGGAAGCACCTCTAGTGCATGTCAGGAAGAGAGTCATTAGAGGTCTCTTTAAAGGACCACTCTAGTGCCAGGAAAACAAACAAACATACTAGTTTTCCTCGCACTATAGGGTCTCTAGGTCCCCCCCATCCTTAGGGTCCCACTCCGGCCGGGCTCTAGGGTGAGGAAGGGGTTAATCCCTTACCTCGGGGGTGGGGACTCTCCGCCTCCTTTCCCCATCATCGGCTGAATGCGCATGCGCTGCAAGAGCCGCGCGCGCAGACAGTCTCTATGGACGCTGGTGTCTTCTCACTGATTTTCACAGTGAGAAGCGCAGAAGCGCCTCTAGCGGCTGTCAATGAGACAGCCACTAGAGGCTGGATTAACCCATAGGTAAACAAAGCAGTTTCTCTGAAACTGCTATGTTTACAGCAGGCAGGGTTAACCCTAGAGGGACCTGGCACCCAGACCACTTCATTGAGCTGAACTGGTCTGGGTGCCTATAATGGTCCTTTAACTATGCCACGTATACATTACCGTTTCTGAAACACTGCAGTGTTTTACATTGAAGGATTAAAATGACAGGACCACTGCACCCATACCACGTCACTGAGATTTAGTAGTCCTTTTATGTCAGTGCCATCAAGGTTTTTTTTTTTTTATAAACTGTTCCTTTCTAAATTAAATTAGAGGGACAAAGGTTTAAAAATAATATCAGGAAGTATTACTTTACTGAGAGGGTAGTGGATGCATGGAATAGCCTTCCAGCTGAAGTAGTAGAGGTTAACACAGTAAAGGAGTTTAAGCATGCGTGGGATAGGCATCAGGCTATCCGAACTATAAGATAAGACTAGGGACTAATGAAAGTATTTAGAAAATTGGGCAGACTAAATGGGCCGAATTGTTCTTATCTGCCGTCACATTCTATGTTTCTTTCTCTTTTCCTCCACCTGCACCCATTAGATTTTACGGTCACACTTTACACCAGTTCTGTGCATTACTTCTGTTGTTCCTCCCTTTTACTTTAACATGCATCCAATTGTGAGCACTTGTTACGAAGTTGTTGCATTTGTGTTTTTAATTAAAAAAGGTTAAAAAAAAAAACAAAAAACATATTCCTGACTCTATATGTTAAAAACACAATTTAGATGTCCCCACCCCACCCTCCCTTGCCCCTTTAAATATAGTAACATCTTACCTTTACTCCAGTTTGCTGCTGCCTTTGCCCCTGATCTGCATTCTTGGCTGACATCATCAGAAGTGATTCTCTCAGCCAACCAGAATTAGTTCCCTTAGGAAAGTATTGGATTTGCCGAGTCTGTCAAGGAGGCAGATCAGGGCAGAGCCAGCACAGGTTAAACACAACCCTGGCCAATCAGCATCTCCTTATTGAATTAATGCACCTCTATGAGGAAAGTTCAGTGTCTCCACGCAGGGTGTGGAGACACTGAATGTCAGTCACACTGTGCAGCACTGCCCCAGGAAGCACCTCTAGCAGCCATCTGAGTAGTGGCCAGTGGAGGTATCCTAGGCTGTAATGTAGACACTGCACTAAAAAAAAAAAAAAAAAGGCCTGCAGGGACGGACTATACTCACCAGAACAACATCATGAAGTTGTAGTCGTTCTGGTGAGTATAGTGTCACATTAGTAAAATGGTTTACAAAGAACAAAAATAAAACCCATATAGACCATTTACACTACCTTTATATAAAACATACCTTTCTTCTGTAAAAATCAAATACTGGCTCCTTAAACATGTTCTTATGCGTGTCATTCATTGCACAATAAATAAATAGTCTGCTTAAAACAACTTCCAGGTCATTTTTTTTCTACCCTCATAAAAATGTCAAACATAAAATAAATAAATCAACCTGTGGTTTCAAAGTAATGCGAAAGGATTTGCTGGCATTCATGTCCCTAAGGTATATGGAGATATCAGGAAAATAGGCCCAGGGATCTTCGCCTGAATCCCAGCAGGCAAGCTGCAACCCATTCCAGAAATCGTCATTGAAATTCTGTATCTAAAAAGAAAACCAAAAGACAAAGATTCAGTCATTAACCGGAAGGCAGGTCCTCAGACGTGGCCAATATAGAGGACACGTTTAGAGTATTGTAATCTCTACAGTAAGAAAGGCTGCTGGGCAATGTTATTTAGTTTCCATTTCATAGAAAGAAAATAAGCAGCTTTCTAATTGGATACCAGCTAGAAGAGAGGCCAATACATAAATTATTAATGATTTAATGAGAAAGCTCTGATCATGATATTAAAAGGAACACTATGTTGTTTTTATTCCCAACACTATAGCACTGGAGTAAATGTTTAGGTCTGTGGTAACGCTCAGAATGGGTCTGTCTCCATAGCTGAGATCAATCTTGACCATCTCAACCAGGGGTCCTGGGGAAAAAAGTGTACACTCTTATGCATATAATGCAGTGCAGTGTGTGTATAATGAATGCAGCGTGTTTGTAGTGAGTGCAGAGTATGGGTTGGATGGTGTGTGTGTGTGTGTGTGTGTGGGTTGGATGGTGTGTGTGTGTGTGTGTGGGTTGGATGGTGTGTGTGTGTGTGTGTGGGTTGGATGGTGTGTGTGTGTGTGTGTGGGTTGGATGGTGTGTGTGTGTGTGTGTGGGTGGATGGTGTGTGTGTGTGGGGGTGGGTTGGATGGTGTGTGTGTGGGTTGGGTTGGATGGTGTGTGTGTGTGTGTGGGTTGGATGGTGTGTGTGTGGGTTGGATGTGTGTGTGTGTGGGTTGGATGTGTGTGTGTGTGGGTTGGATGTGTGTGTGTGTGGGTTGGATGGTGTACTGGATGGTGTGTGTGTGCTGGATGGCGTGGGAGCATTTTTTTTTTTAACCTTATGTGTTTAGATTTTTTTGTTTTATTCCCCCCTCCCTGCTTCTTACCTTGTCAGGAGATCGCCTGGTGGTCCGGTGGAGGGAGCCAGCCGCTGCACACAGGGACCATCACACGCTGTGTTCCCTTTCCAGCTCTAACTCTCGCCTGTGCGGAGCGTTGCCATGGTAACCCATGGCAATGCTCTGACAGCCACGAGTCTCGCAAGACTTAGAGCTGGAGAGGGAACACAGCGTGTGATGGCCCCTGTGTGCAGGTAGCAGGGCAGGTCCTGCAGGATCACTAGCGGGAACGGCATTCCTGCTTTGGAAAAAGTACAATAACGCCATTCCCATGCGTTCCTGCAGGACTCGAGCCCTGATCTCAGCCAATCCAATGCTTTCCCATAGGAAAGCATTGAGGCTTTTGTGCACCTGTGAGAAAACACATTGCTAATGAGCATCTATTCAGAGATGCATTGAATTTGGGGAGCATTCCTCTGACAAAGCAGTGTTTACATTGAAAAGCCTGCAAAGACATGCTAAAGACACTAGAACCACTACAACCAGAAGCTGTAGTGGTTCTGAGGTCTATAGCTTTTCCTAAAACGCCTTAAGGTTAAGGTACATTTACCATTTTTCCTCTGCAGTGCAAATCACCATTAATTTTGCTGTTAGTCTATGTTAACGTGTTTTTTTTTTTTTGTTAACCTATAAGTCTGAGAGATTTGTACCAGAATCATATTTTTTTTTAAACAAAGAGGCCTCCAGCCAAAACTGTACAGAGAAAAAGTTACTTGGCTCCAAAGATTGCAATTCAAGACAAGCATTACAAAAAGGTGTACTGTGCAGAATGAGTAAAAGGATTCGTAAAAATACAAAACAAATATCAGCTCTGGAACTTAATCGGTTTATTAAACAAGTGTGACAGGCAAACAAGACCAGTCGTGGCTTCAGACATTTAGCGGAAATTTAAAAAAAATAAAAAAATAAAAAATTGTTATGAGATCTTCCTTTTCAAAGTCTCTTCTTAGCATTAAACCAATAGTCCTTTTATTTTAAGGTCTTAAAATACAAGGTTCATGGTTCACACATACCCTGAAATCATCAATTCGCTTAAAATCTTAAATTGCCCATTACAGCTCATTCTATGAGCTTGCACCCCCATTAAGCCTTTACCAGATTCACTGTGCTTTCTTGGAACCACTGCTCCTAAATGTTCCTGGCTCTATATGAAAAGTGATGCCCTGCAGTATTTAGCATATGCATAAATTGCAATAATTATGGTGAGAATCTTAAAGGATTTGCCTTATTGATAAGGATGAGTTTCCCACCCGCGTCATGTCAATTGTTCACACCGTACATCACTTTTCAACCTGTAGAAGTGAAGTGGTCATGGGAAACGTGAAACCTTCGTCCCCAATATAACAGCAGTGTCAAGCTGCCTGTTTCTTGTCAAAATGAGTGCACAAGCCAAATACGCTGTTCATGAAGTTTAATGAAAAAATAAAAATAAAAATACCCCTCACTGGGTTAATTACTAAAGTATAAATTTAAGGCCAGAATACCTTAACTGAAAGAATAGCAGACTTCGAGAATTTTTAAAATTTGGCTATTTTGACCTTACATTTGGCATGAATTCACTTTGAATTTACACCCTGAACTCTCACACTGGTAGATAACGAACACAGAAACCAATATGCCAGATTATCTAATTTAAAAGAAAAAAAAAAAACAAACAAACAAGGTACACCTATTGTTAATTCTTTCATCAATGTGCCACGTAGATTCAGAGTTTTGTCGACGCAGTTAATAGGCACGCCATACGCACAGCTCATTTTCACAAAATAAATATTTCCCTCCCAGTTATTCCTTCAAGCGAAACAATTACACGGAAACTGCAAATGCTGACTCAACAGGATAAAAAAATATTTTTCAAAGATTAGAAGAAAAAAAGAAAAAATAAGTGATGGAAAATACCAACACGTGTTTGTACTTTGGTATCAGTAAGTGAAATAATATTGGTTTCCCGCTCTGCATGTTGTAGCTATTGATATGAATCCTGTCTGTGGTGTTAAGCAGGTTCTGCCAAAGAAAATGTACCCATTGTGTCACTACAGTGCATTGTGGGAGCACAAACATTCCATTGACCAAAAAAAAGTCTGATAAAATTACGTGACCTCTTTTTTTGGCTTCAAATTGCAATGCAGCTTAGCAACTAATACGCACATTATATATAGATTTTTTTTATTTATTTTTTAAATAAGTAGGTTAAGCCAGCTCTTTTTTTTAATCCACTCCCCCACTCTAAAAGTGTGCTTTGCTTCTTTCGGATACTGCTTTTTTACCTGTACTTTTGTACTTTTTTTCACCATCAGGTTTTGATTCCAGTAACAGCCATCTTCTAATGTCTGGCAGCGATGTTGGGTTTCTGCCTTTGTCTACGCTTTGTCAGTTCTTGTGTATCCTCAGTTCACCCTGCACATCGAATTTGCACAGGGTGGACTGAGCATGCCCACAGTCACAATGCTTAATGCTGGTGTACATAGAGGACAGGTGAGCATCATGGTAAACTCGACAAAGTCTTAAAGGAACACTATAGTCACCTAAACTACTTTAGCTAAATAAAGCAGTTTTAGTGTATAGATCATTCCCCTGCAATTTCACTACTCAATGCACTGTCATTTAGGAGTTAAATCACTTTGTTTCTGTTTATGCAGCCCTAGCCACACCTCCCCTGGCTATGATTGACAGAGCCTGCATGAAAAAAAAAAAAAACTGGTTTCACTTTCAAACAGATGCAATTTACCTTAAATAATTGTATCTCAATCTCTAAATAGAACTTTAATCATATACAGGAGGCTCTTGCAGGGTCTAGCAAGCTATTAACATAGCAGGGGATAAGAAAATCTTAATTAAACAGAACTTGCAATAAAGAAAGCCTAAATAGGGCTCTCTTTACAGGAAGTGTTTATGGAAGGCTGTGCAAGTCACATGCAGGGAGGTGTGACTAGGGTTCATAAACAAAGGGATTTAAATAATGTTATCATATCCCCTCCCAGGCAACGTTTTTCTAAACTAAATAGGTTTAAATTTGTTAACTTTTCTTCATAGCTGATATTTTCCATTCCTTTTATTAATTTTGTAGCCCGCCTCTGCACTGTTTCTAGAAGGATATTATGGCACTAGAAAAAATGCAGAGACGGGCTACAAAATTAATAAAAGGAATGGAACATATCAGCTATGAAGAAAAGTTAAATTTAAACCTATTTAGTTTAGAAAAACGTTGCCTGAGAGGGGATATAATAACATTATACAAATATATTTGGGGCCAATACAAACCATTGTGTGGAAGAAGATTTTGTCTAAGGCAAAGGAAAGGTTTTTTTACTGTAAGAATAATAAGGATGTGGAATTCTCTGCCTGAAGAAGTGGTTTTATCAGAGTCCATACAGATGTTCAAACAGCTACTAGATGCATACTTGCAAAAACAGAATATTCAATTATATAATCTTTCAATGTAGGGTAATAACTGCTTGATCCAAGGATAAATCTGACTGCCATTCTGGGGTCAAGAAGGAATTTTTTCCTAGCTTGTTGCAAAGTTGTGCTTCAAACTGGGTTTTTTGCCTTCTTTTGGATCAACAGCAAAAAACAAATGTGAGGAAGGCTGAACTTGATGGACGCAAGTCTCTTTTCAGCTATGTAACTCCTAAATGGCAGAGGATTGAGCAGTGAGCCTGCAGGGGCATGTTCTATACACCAAAACTGCTTCATTAAGCTAAAGTTGTTCAGGTGACTATAGTGTCCCTTTAAGCTCCACCCTTTGTCAAGCAGAGGAAAATACACAAGGCAAAGCTTTATGTATTTTATAATAATAGAAGAGATAAGAAGAAAAGAAAACAGATCGAGAGACAGGAATAAAAGAAGAATAATCAATTGAGCAAAGGTAAGTTTGGATGTGACGGAGCCTCTATAAGGTCACTTGATGTGTGAAAATATGGTATTAAATCTAAATTCTTCCTTATTTCTTTACAGAGCATGTAGATTTTTTTCTTAAAATGTTCTTCTTTCTCCTGGCCCCCTACCATCATTTATAAGAGAAGGCATATTTTCTATTTGGCTCTGTTGTACTTGTGCATGCGCAAGAGTTTAGCACCAACAATGGCTGCTGACAGATGAAGCACCAGGTGCTGAAGGATACCATATGGCAGTAGATGATGCCAGCCATGAGGTACAGGTTCGAGTAAGTAAAAACTACCTTTGCCAGCATCTCTTATCCACCGCACTGCAAGCAGAGCAGCCACTAACTGGGGTCTTGGCAAAATATGCAAAGCCCCAGAAGGTGACAGAGCTGCTTTAACTAGGTGATCAACAAGTGGCTTGTAAAATTAGTGAATAATGAGACATTCAGTATCAGAGGCATAGACAATCAAATCTTGACAATTGAGAATAAAATGCAGGAATTGCCTAAATAATAAGCACAAAGAAAGGGCAACCAGATGTCTCAAAGGAAATACATTTTATCTTATTGTTGTTATAGAACAAAACAGTGGTTCACAAGAAAAGTGTTTTATAAAAGTAAACCACAAATTCAATAAAATGTATTGTCTGCTATACATTGTGAACATTTTTTATGAGCGTTGACACCAACCTACACATTTACACTTTATTCTACATATAAAGGACACCTACAGCTTTCTGATCACTTAGTAACTAGTGATACACAGTTTAATTTGGTGACAGCACCTACTTAGTGACACATTGTGCATGGTTTGCAGTGCATGAGTGTATTTGCCAAAGGTATACACACCAGTGAAGTTTGAAGTATGGCTTCCACCACAGCACTGAAGACCTTATCTGGGAGGCGAAGGAGAGTTGTCCCACTGTCCACGATGGCTTTATCGGAGTTGTACTGAAAAGGCCACACAAGAGAACTATTAACAAATGCCATAAAATTGTGAACAACTAGATTAATCAGTGTTACAGATAAAATAAAAATAAAAAATATGCATACACTACTGACAACAATAACACAGTTTCCGAACACTAAAGTTTTTCTTTAACGCTGTTTTGTGCAGGAGTACAAAGGCTACAAGGTCTTAACCTTTAAGGTTCACTGATCAAACTGTGCACAGGTATGGTAATTTGGAATATCAGTGTTTGGATTTAAAGCCCTCCTGTACAAAACAAACAATTCTAATTCAATTGTGTAGGTATCAACAGGAAATCCACAGCAGTGAAGGTACGTAAAGGATCTCCTTCCCCAATTGGTCTATTCTTTAAGTCCGTTTTAGAGGGTATCAAGTCAAGTGATGCTGGATAAGGCAGTCCATCAACAGGATAGTGGACCATCTCAGGATGTTAATAACCCTATGGGCTAAACCAAGTGACAATTTCCAGCACTGTAAGTATATTTGGTGAGAAACTATCCTGTTTCTAGTTATGCCAAGTTTCCACGAATCCATTTCTTTCTTTCTTTGTGGCAAGTGATTATCTCTCACACACACACACACTGTGTTACAACATATAATCTGCAAAAATAAATCAAAACAACAAGGGATGTAAATGTACCTCCACACAATTCAGGTTCAGGATCACATTACCAACTTCGAACTTGAGAATTTCCACCTGATAATACCACTCCTCCGTGATTGGGGTGTACCAGATATCGCCTTTGTATAAATGCTCTTCTATTCCACCCATGACCTAAAAATAAATTAAAATAGCAATAAGACACACCATGTACATATTGGACTGGTCGTAGCCTAGAGGTGATTAATGAATAGATCACAGAAATCAAATACATCACCAAAATTACTTGAAACATTTGTATCTTCACACAAAGACTCAATTCAATATTGCAATGTTTCTTAGTTTTAGAGCAGACAGCTCAAATGAATATAGTTCTCAAAGCTGTTTATTGGGTGCAAAAGTCAAATACAGTAGAACGGACTCGCAGGTCCCAGTGACATTGGAATGATCAACAGTTTGAACAGTAGTAGGCTATTATACAAGTATTTAGAGTAAATGTGTAAAACAAGCGAAATTATTCAGGTTGTGACTCAGATTGTCAAACTATAAGCAGTATGCTGAATTCGACATATTTGAGGTGTTCATCATGACTTTTTGGGCATCAGACTTTGCCGCACGGGGGATGTGCAGATTATTTGAGGTCTTGGGTACTCGTGCTTTCAAGTGTGCTTAGGTGTGCGGCCTTAATGGCCAAATGCTCATATTGTGTCCGGTGGAGTTGTCAGGGGGTGTCCCCATATCGCTCCCCAAGTAATTAGATGCCTTGGCTGTGCAGTTACATTTAGTATCCCTTTTTCACCCATGGGCCTCATCCCTTATGTGATGGTGAAGGCTATCGGACCTAGGTTGGAGGTCATTAGCTGTTTATGTGTATTCCCTGTTTGTATTTCATGATGTTGTGGTTGAGGTGTTCGTCACTGGCCAGATGTATGGGCGTGAATATGTGGTGTGTCCGTTGGTAACCTCGGGTTGAGTTAAACTGCTTCTGCTATTCAGTCAGCTTATGTATCATTGTTGGAGAACTTAGATGAAAGACAAGTGAGAAATAAGAGAAGAAGATGGGGGGGGGAGGAGAGAGCGGTATAAAGAAGAAGTGGGAGGTGTGTGTAGAGGGGTAGGGGAGCCCATTGCCTGTGGTTACCGTGTGTCGTATCAGGTCTCGTTCTCCATCTAGGAGGGGGCGCAGGGTTCTTCAGGCATGCAGGCGTTTGCTCCGGTCCGTGTTTCGATCCGCTATATAGATCACCCACGGGAGCCATCTCTCCACATGTTTTTCATCAAGACCCATAAGGGCGGCCTGTGTTGATTCTGCTCTGTATATATCTTCCACACGCTCCATCCATAGTCCTATTGTTGGGGTAGCCGTCTGTTTCCAGTGCAGCGGGATTAGTGTTTTGGCAGTGTCCAATAGGTGTCTAAGAATGTTTTTCTGGTACGTCCCAATGATGACTAGTGTGGAGTGTAGGAGAGCTGCCTCTGCGTCAAAATTTCCGTCCGTCCCCAAGATTTCCTTTGTCTTCTGTTTTACTTCTTCCCAAAATGGCGTAATGAGTGGTGTACCCAGCTCTTCCCCACATCTCCAACATGTGTTAGGTACATTTGGAAAGATCCTGTGTAGGCTGTCAGGCAGGGCCGGTGCAAGGATTTTTGCCGCCCTAGGCAAAAGAAAGATTTGCCGCCCCCCTCCCCCCCGGAACTTCGCAATGCCCCACCCATATGAACTAATGCCAGTGCTGCACACAGTGTGTGTTTACATTAAAAAGCCTGCAGGGACAAACTATATACACCACAACAACTTTATTAAGCTGCAGTGGTTCTGGGGACTATAGTGTTTCTTTAATGTGAGGTAAATTAGAGATTAGTGCCAAGAATAATATACTAGATTGCCTACTTACAATCAGATGAGGATGGTGATGGGCTCTGGCTGCAATCTGGCTCCTCTGGTCTGGTGTGGAACAGGATCTCTGGAGGCTGTTTGCAACTGTGGTCACAAAATTCAATGTTCTGGGAGAACGGGAAGCAGCTCCATTTTTGGGGGCCTCTTACATAGCTCAAGGTCTGGGCCCCAGGGCCTGACGGTGAGTATGCCCATAAAGCCCACCTACATGTTCCACCCATGAACTCACAGGGAGTAGAGTGTGTAGGGGATGTGTTATGTGTTACTGTAGAGGATCTAATGTGTGTGCTTACGGAATGTAGTGTATAGGGATACCAGTTTGTGTAGGTGATGCAGTGTTGTTTGTGTAAGGGATAGAAAGCAGTGAGTGTTTGTGTATAAGGGATGTATTGTGTGTTTCTTGTTGTGTGTTAGGGATGCATTGTGTGAATCTGTGTTTGTATGCATAAGGGATGCAAAGTGTGTTTCTGTGTATGTAAGGGATGCAGTATGTGTGTCTGTAAGGGGTGTGTTGAGATGCATTGTGTTTCTGTGTGAGTGTGTAAGAAAAACAGTGTGTGTTTGCATGTGTGTGTAAGGGATGCATTGTGTGTGTTCTGTGTATATGTGCAAAGGATGCATTGTCTTTATGTGTAAGGTTTGCATTGTGTGTTTCTCTGTGTGTAAGGGAAGCATGTTGTGTTTCTGTGTGTATAGGGATGCATTGTGTGTGTGTGTGTGTGTGTGCGCGCGTGGTGTGAAAGAGCTCCCTGTCCCTCTGTCCTATAGAGCTCTCCCTTCCATTCCTTAGAGATCTCCCCTGCCCCTTAGTGGTCTCTCCTCTCCCCCCACCTCCCTTAGTGGTCTCCTTTTCTCCCCGACTTTCCATTAGTGGTCTCTCCTCTCCCCCCACCCTCCCCTATCCTCCACCCCCCTCCCTTAGCGGTCTCTCCACTGCCCCCTCCCTCCTTTAGTGGTCTCTCCCTCCCCTACTTTCTCATCTCCCACCCCTCGTGTTCTCCTCTTCTTCTCCCCCCGTGTTTTCCTCTTATTCCCCCCCTCCCTGTGTTCTCCGCTTCTTCTCCCCCCTGTAATTTTGTCTTCTTCTCCCCTCCCCCCATAATCTTCTCCCCTCCCCCCCCTGTAATCACTTCTTCTCCCCCGTAATCTTCTCTTCTTCTCCCCCTATAATCTTCTCTTCTTCTCCCCCCCTCCCTTCTCTTCTTCTCCCCCCCTCCCCTCCCATCGATCATCTCCCCATCAGTGTCTCCCCCAATCAGTCATCCTCCCCACCCTCCCATCAAATCATCTCCCCATCATCATCTCCCTCCATCTCCCATCATCATCATCTCCCCCTCCCGTCAATCATCTCCCATCATCCCCTCCATCTCCCCATCATCATCTCCCCTCCTCCATCAAATCATCCCCATCATTTGTCCATCTCCCCATCATCTCCTCCTCATCATCATCATCCTCCCCTCCATCGATCATCTCCCCATCAATCTCCCCTCCATCATCATCATCTCCTCCCCTCCTCGATCAGTCATCTCCCCATCATCCCCCCCTCCCTCAATCAGTCCCATCTCCCCATCATCATCTCCTCCCATCTCCCCCCCCATCATCATCATCTCCCCCCCCTCCCTCCCATCATCATCATCTCCCCCCCTCCCTCCATCATCGTCATCTCCCCTCCCTCCATCCATCATCATCCTCCCCTCCCTCCCAATGATCATCTCCCCCTCCCATCTCCCCCCATCATCCATCTCCCTCCATCTCTTCCATCATCATCATCTCCCCCCCTCCCTCCCATTAGTCATCTCCCCTCATCGTCATCTCCCCCCCCACTCCCCAGCTTCTCCTCACCTCCCCTGCCCTGCTGTAGCGTGGCCGAGCTCCTATCCGGTCCGCGACCCGGCGGACTGACAGGAAGTGCACACTCAGTGGAGCTCGGCCACGCTACAGCAGGGCAGGGGAGGTGAGGCACTGCGGCAGCCGCCTGAGCGCTCTCCATAGAGCGCTCAGGCGGCTGCAGAATTTAAAGGGCCGGCGATGGGGGCGCAGGGCGCCCCCTCCTATATGGCGCCCTAGGCGGCTGCCTAGTTCGCCTTATAGGAAGCGCCGGCCCTGCTGTCAGGTGTTCTGTACCAAAATGATAAGAGTTTGTAATTTGTTTCTTGGTATTGGGAACTCGATGATCATTTATGGTGAAGAATAAGGACATTATCCCATTGGGCAGCGGAGAAGGATGTGTCCAGCATGCGTTCCCAGCGTAGGCGGAATTGGTCATTGTTAGTGAGATGTCCCACTAGCATGTGTTGATACAGAAGGGATATCGTCTTATCTATGGTAGTCTTGTGGTCACAGAGCGTTTCAAACCACGATAAGTCCCGATGTAGTGCTTCTTTGCTCGGGAGTGTGATAGTAGGACCTGAGCTGTATATAGCGAAAGGATTGTAGGCTAGTGGGTTGGTTGCCCTCCAGCAGTTCTCTCAGGGGGGTCATGCCTGTGTTTAGTATCCTGTGGATGGGGAATGAATCCCCCTCTCCAAGGAAAGTCCACGATGTCGGTGGCAGTCCCCCTCCTATCTGAGGGTTATGTTGTATCTGAATCATCGGGCTTGGTGTTGGAGATACGTGCGGAGTTCTTCTGACAGTATCCCATGCTTTCAGTGTCTGCACTACGGAAGAGGTTGGTTCAAGAATCACCCGTGAGTCTCTTTGAGTTCCACACCGATGCCAGAAAGGAGGGGCCTATATGGCATTTATCTAGGTCAATCCATTGTTTGTGTGCCGGTTGAGTATGCCACTCCAGTACATGCTGTAGTACTGTCGCATGATGGTATTTGCATAAATCGGGGTTCCCCCCATGCTCGCGGCAGACATAGGATGTCCTGTCGGAGCCTTGCCTGTTTCCCATTCCAAACGAATTTCACCATCGCGGATCTGAGTGACGTGAAGTATGCTGTCAGCAGGGCTTGAGGGATCGTCTGGTATAAATAAAAAATCCGCGGTAGTACATTCATTTTGAGGATTACAATCCTGCCGAACCACGATCTGTGCGGGTAAGCCCATGTCTTCAGATCCTGTTGTAGTCGTCGTAGCAGTGGTTAGAAGTTTTGCGCGGTACATGTCTCCCAGGTCTCTGGTGAGTGGTATTCCCAGGTATTGCATGTGATTCGCGCACCATCGGAATGGGAATTGTTTTTTTTAATGCGTCTGCTTGGGCTGTCGGGACAGTAATGTTGAGTACTTCGCATTTGTTCATGTTAAGTTTGAATCCTGAGACCTCCCCATAGTTTTTGAGCATAGTTACCAGGTGGGGCATTGTTGTCTCTGGATTTGTAATAAAGAATAAAGATCATCTGCATATGCAGCCACTGTGTGTGCTGTATTACCACTTTTGAAGCCCGGGATTTCATCCGATTTGTGTACAGCCTCTAGGAACGGTTCGAGGGCCAGGGCGAAGAGCATGGGAGAGAGTGGGCATCCCTGTCTTGTCCCATTATGGATCGGAAAAAAGACTCAGTGAGCGCTCCGTTCACTCTCACCTTCGCGTTGGGGCATTGGTACAGCACACCAATCCACTTCATCATGTTCTCCCCTAAGCCCAATTCTTGAAGCATGGCCATAAGGAACGTCCAGTCCACCCGGTCGAACGCTTTTTCCGCATCTGTTGATAATAGTAGGAGTTCATCTTTCGAACGTTTCGCCAGGTGATGGATGGACTGTACCCTAAGAGTGCTGTCCCTTGCCTCTCTCCCGGGAATGAACCCAGTCTGGTCAGGGTGGACCAATTTTGGGAGTATTCCCCCAATTGTAGTGGATAGTATCTTGGTGAAAAGCTTCACATCCACATTCAGCAGTGAGATTGGTCTATAGTTGCTGCAAAGTTCGGGATTCTTCCTCGGTTTCAGAAAGACTGTTATAGTAGCCACTAGGGACTCGTGAGAACTGGGCGCCTTCCACTAGGGCGTTGAATGCGTTGGCGAGTTTCGGGAGAAATATGGTTTGGAATTTCTTATAGTAGTCAAGAGTAAAGCCGCCAGGGCCCGGTGCGCGGCACGTTTTTGCGGCTTTAATTGCTCCCGCTACCTCTACTTCCATGATCGGTGTATCCAGGACCTCCGACTCCCCTTGTTGTAGTCGTGTCCCCACGTGGGATTCGACGTATCTCCGTATTTTGTCATGTCTGTCAGCTGTCCCCTCCGGGAGTGTCGGCCTCGGAATGTTATACAGTGAAGTGTAAAACGAGCGAAACTCCGATGCTATCCTGTCTGGGAACTGCGTGACCGTGCCATCTGTGTTCGTAGCTTATGGACTTGGGTCATACCCAGGGGACCTCTGATCATCCTGGCCAACAGTCTCCCTCTTTTGTTCACATTTTGGTAGTGAGCTGTAGTATCGAGCTGTCATGTGTGTATGTAGTGATCTTCAGGCTTCCAATAATTCCTTATATGTCCCTTCAAGTTGGGAGCGTTTGTGTTGCATTTCAAGGACATTTATGAGTGTCAATAGTTCCGTCATCTGTCTCTGGGATTCCCTTTTCTCTTTAGAAGCCAAGTGCATCAGCGTACCTCTGAGCACTCTTGTGTGCTTCCCATACCGTTGTCGCGGTTAGTTCGCCTGTTGCGTTTAATGCGAAATAAGTGAGGTCCTCGGTGACCCGCTCTCTCACCACTGGGTCTAAGAGTAGAGAATCCCGGAGCCGCCACATACAAGTGGATGGGCGTATCCTAGGAGAGTCCATTTGTAGAGTCACTGGTCCATGGTCCGACCAGTTTGCCGATCCAATTTCAACTTTTTGGATTGCGGTAAGTTGCTCCTGTTGGAGAAAGATATAATTGCATATCACTTATGTATCACGGAGTAGTGAGTGTATTCCCTGTCTGCCGGGTGCATTGCGTGCCAGCAGTCTACCGGTCTAAGGTTCTTGAGTGATTTCTGTATACTACGAAGGGCTCCTTGGGCGACCCTACTGTATCCCGTGGAGGAATCTGTTAGGGGGATGAGGAGTACGTTGAGGTTTCCGCCCAAGATCAACGTGCCCTCTGTGAATGAGGGGAGTCTGAAGAGGTTTTTGCGAATGTAATGTGATTAGTTGTTATTCGGCACGTAGATCATCACCAATGTATACCTTCGGTCTTGTATATCTCCTTTGAGGAATATGTGTCTGCCGTTGAGGTCAACCATTCGGTCAGTTTCCTGGAACTGTAGCTTAGTATGGAGGAGGATCGCCACTCCCGCCCTACGGGTGGTTACTACAAGCCGCGCTGGGATAGAGTTTGCCTTTCTGCAGCGGGTCATTCCCTTCCTTAAAATGTGTTTCCTGTAGGAAAGCAATCAATATGGGTCTAGAGGATAGGTCTCGAAGGAGCTGTGACCTACACTCCGGTATATTTAGGCCCCTGCAGTTCATGGTCGTAATGCGTAAGGGGTCCGGTTCATAGGCCATTTGTGGTTGGCGTGAGTGGTTCGCAGGGGCCTTCAGCGGTTTGTTCACCCTTCCAGGGGAAGTCTGCTGCAGAGTTGCACCCCGTCCCAGTGTAGGCTCTGCAGTTACTGTGGCAATGGGAGGGGGTATTAAGGGTGGGGGGCGGAGGAACAGAGGAGTTGAGAGGGTGAAGCAGAGGAATAGAGGGGGGGTAGAAGTGAAGTGGGGCGGGGGTGTGGAAGAAAAAGATAGATTCTTCGTCTCCAGAGGGAGACGGTAGCGGCACCTAGAGATAGGTGACAAGAGTCCCTCCTGGGAGGGCTGGTTCACGTGACCACGGATGGGTGTGGGGAGTGCAGCGTATGCCCGGTCCTCTCTAGGGCCCCTCCGTGGGTTCCGTGGTTGTCTCTGGGGTCTGGGTTTCCGCAGGGTGACTTGTGTCAATTTGTGGTTATGGAGCGGTGTGTTGTTGGTCGGGGGGTTGGCTAGTCTAGTGTGTCTGACTAAAGTATTGGTCAGGGGTATTGCAGTCATTCTTGGTCGGGTAGTGGTAGCCAGGACCAGTGTCCTTGTCGTGTGAAATGTAGGTCCGGGGGGTGGGGGGGGCATAGGCAGGGTGTTGCCTCAGAGCGTGTTACTTATTACTTAGCTCATGGGATGCAGGTTTGGGTGGGGGTAGTGGCGGGTTCTCCATTTATCCACGCTGTGGATAGCATATAGGTTAACTATAAGAAATGCATGTCATGCATTTATTCTTCTGGGTTGGATGGGTGTGGGGGTGCAGCGTATGGCCGGTCCTCTCTAGGGCCCCTCCGTGGGTTCCATGGTTGTCTCTGGGTTCCCAGTATAGTGGTTCCAGTATCCAGTCCGGGACTGCTTTGGGCGGCAGGTCCAGCCTTTGGAGAAAATGTGGTATTTCTTCTGGCCAGCGTGCCGCCACCCATTTGTTGCGGTGTCATACTTGGATGCTGAATGGAAAACCCCACTTGTAGGGAATATTGCGTTCCCTTAGTGCTGTAGTGATGGGTCTGAGGGCACGCCTAGCCTCCAATGTGGTAGGTGAGATGTCATTAAACAGAGGCCCTGCCTCTTGTTACCGCCATGTGGGTCGGGTCCTGGCCTGCTGCATTATGCGTTCTTTAAGGGGAAATGAGTGTAAGCAGCAAATAATGTCACGGGGGTCCCCATCCCTAATCCTGGGTCGCAACGCCCTGTGTGCCCGGTCAAAGCGGATGTCTGGTGGCACGTCGCTCCCCAGAATCTGGTGGAAGAGCTTGGTCAGCATCTCCTCAACATTCTCCATCCCCTCCCGCCCCGGACCCCCCTTACCCGGATGTTAGAGTGGCGACTCCGGTTATCCAGGTCCTCGACCTGTCTGCGCAGGGCCAGTAGCATGTTGCCCTGCCTTGTTAGGGCTGTATCTGTGGCAGAGGCCTGGTGCTGTGTGGCTTGGGCCTGGGTTTCTAAGGCCTGGATGCGTCCATCCTGTGCGTCTATGTCCATGCGTAGTGCGGTGACTGCGGATGTGAGGGATGCCGTAAGGGTGGCGGTCAGGGACTGCAGGTCAGATTTTGTGACCATGTTGGCTGCTAGTCTCCTGATCTCTGCCCCAATATCAGCCAGTGTGGGCTGTTCCTGCTCCGAGCAGGAGGAAGCCGGGGAGACGGGCGCCATCTTGGTTCATGTGCCTTGCGGCTCGGTCCCAGCGGGGTTTGTAGAAATCCGTCCATCGGTCCTGCTGGCGGTGCTGCCCTGGGGTCTGCGGGTTCTCCGGTATCCTGGTGCGTCCCATTTGGGTGAGCTAATGGGCTGGAAACGGCTTATAGTAGCTTGGTGGCGAGGAGCTCGGGATTCACGCGTCCATGCTAGTCGGACTTCAGGCCACACCCCCCCTCAATTGAATATAGTACTATTTGTGACGGACCTCCCATACTCCGACAGAGTTACTCCACCAAGTTCGCTTCTTCGCTGCTGCAGGGGACTCTGAAGCACTTCAGACCAAGTTGCCAAAGCTTGACTGGGGTCTCTCAGGAATGCTTTCACCGAACCAGGCTGAAGCTCTCTTCTTCTAGGCAAGTATTGTCCCCTCTGCCTTTTCCCCTTTTCTAGGCAGGAATCCACACCTCTGCCTATACTCTGATCAACTCCTGACTTTCAGCTCTAGCTTTTTATTTATATATTTATTTTTTAAACTTGTCCCAAGCTACAGGGACCAAGCAGCCATCTAGCAGGTTTGAAGACGGTTCCAAAATCAGCTAACACACAATACTTTAATTTGATTTCGGACCAGCCCATTTGTGTATTACATAAAACGAATGGTGACAAACGCAATCTAATACAAATAACCAAATCATATGTGGAAACATGCAGGAACTTATAAAAAATATATAACATTTATAAAGTGGTGGTGAAGACAACCAACAAGTAACTCTTCTGCCTGCAGAATTTTTAATATGCAAATTAACCAGCCTTGCTATTCAGGTAGTGCATATAGCAATTTCAAGATCTTCACAACCAACAGATGGCGCTGAACAGGATCCACAGAAATATTTGGGACACGAGAGCACACAAACCATTTAACAATTAACAAGAATACACATCATGCGCCATTTATGGACACAGGGTGACATAGATATAAGAGACACTAGTAAAAAAAAACAAAAAAAAAAAAAACAAGATGTGTCAGATACAAAAACAGACAGTTCGATAACTCTCAACAGCAAACTCAGTCACAAATAATCTCAGCCCAAGGTGTAGTAACTCTGGGGAAAATGGAGGCCATCAGATACTAAAAAAAAAGCTGTCAGAGAGAAGGGTGTTTTTATAGTCCCAGCGTGGGGACTACCTGCACATGCTTTATAGAGCAAAGAATTCTACTGATACATTATGCTAGTAAATGTATAGATACAATTTTATTTTTTCATGAAGATAATTTTCTTAAATTGTCAGCATACAGATATGAACCACAAGTACCAGTGTCTACCATGAATGGACGTGCATTCTTGCAACCTTACAATGCAAGTCATGACTACCCACAATGTATGGGTAAATATTAAAAAGATTAGTCCAAACACGGCCATTTCTGCTTTTAGAAGTGATCACCGTCCTAGCAATCTGTATGTGGAGCATTTCTACTTAAAACACCGCGCATACAGAGAAATCTGCTCTTTTGAGCCCGAGTCTAGTTGCCCCACCAACACACGTGACTTAGACAGTCCAAAGCGCTAGGCAGGGAGTATAGGAACAGAGTAAGTGACATGACTCTATTCAGATGCTAGCATGTTGTCACAGAAACCAGTATTAGGTGTCGTGGATGACGTTTGCCCTGTTTGGGGAAGCATTCCCATGTAGAGCAAATCATTGATGGACATAAAATGAGCGAGGGTGAACTCTAGGTGGATGTTAGAGAAGTGCCACCTCTGTAAGGAAATCGTGGCAATGGAGTGTAGAGTAAGGTAGGTGGTGGCAGGTTCCCTTTAAAGGCAAGCCTTCCTTCCCTTGCCCAACTTTGAGCCATGAAAACAGGCCAATCGTAGAAAAGCATTTCACTAGAACTATGATGATGCAGTGTAATGTCAGACAGGGCATGGATACAAGCCAAGAGGACCTCACCCAGTGCTGGATTTAAGGTAAGTTTAAAGATTATTATTATTATATGAGGGGAATTTTATATATTTGGAGTACCAAATAGAGCATAATAAAAAAACCAAAAAAAAAACCCAGTTATTATGGATAAAGGGGTTATAAGTAACCCTTTAAGTATAAAGTCAGTTTTGTTTTTTTTAAATCTGATCGCAGGTTTCTTGGCACAAGGGTCATTTGCTAAACTTCAAATTGCAGCAAGTTAAAATCTAAATGGCAAAGTTTTTGCAAAAAAAGCTGATCTGGAAAACGTTTGCAACCAGATGGGCTATTTTTGCCTAAATGTTGACAATCAAATTTTAATTTGCTATAATTTAGCAATTAGCATTGTATATGTGGTGCCTGTTATGAACCTGGTCATAGACACATTTGTGGGTGCCCTTTGCACTCACACTTTGCCATCATTTTTTGTTCACTTACCTTGTAACAGAATAAATATTTTTTACCTTGTAACAGAATAAATATTTTACAGCTATTTTACAATTTTTATTCCAGGTGGGTTCCCTTTAAAATCCAATTACTTTAGCAAGGCTGTATTTTTAAAATGTTTTTAATTAATTTATATTTAAGCTCAGTTAATTCTCTAGCTTACTGAAATACTTCCATTTGTTGCTAAATTACCATATTCTATGGAAATGGTTCATACATAAAAGCAAGATTGCACTTTTAAACCAAGAACAATAAAGAATACACTACAACAGATATTCAACGAACATTTAAAACCAGTATGGTATTTTCTCCTTACCAGGCTGCCGACATTTCTGCCAGTTCCAGTGATGGGCAGACCTGCCCCACACATCTGCATGGAGAAGATATCTGAAATATCTGCTTGACTCACCAAGGAATCAAAAAAGGTTTCCACAGAGCTGGAGGGCTACGAGGGCAAAAAACACACAAAACATTATCCAGAAAACCCAGAAAAGAAAACAACTGTTCAACAGTATAATGTGAAAGGTGCTTATAGAACCACACAACACAACAGCTTCATTAAAATGTATACCTTCTTCTACATATACACGTGAGAAAGTATTTAACTAAATAAAAAATAAACCAATCAGCAGACAAAAATGTAAAAATAAAAAATATATATTTTTTTTTTTCTAAATTAAAAAAAAAAAAACCCAGTCTAGTCTTCGTATCTTTATGAAAGGTTAAAAGGTTAAATACCCTTAAAAGGCAGTATTGTTGTTATTGCATCTTCACACTTTCTGTAAAAGAACACTAAACACAATAGTGTCAGGAATATTCCTGACACTATAGTGCTGAAGTGGCTGCTTAGGGCCCACGTCTATTCAGTAAAAAAATATTTTACTCATCTTTTCTGCCATGTCGCGCTGGTCTTGCTGTGGCTGGCCCAGTTGGGGATCCAAAGCCTGATCTCGGGAAGGGCACTTGTATATTATTTAAAGAAATAATCCATGCACAGTAACCACTACAGCTCTGTGTAGTAGTTATGGTGCCAGGATCCCCTCCCAGAGTAAGTAGTCAAACCGTTTAAGAACAGTGTGATAACTTACCTGGGGTCTGCTGGGATATGTGGGGACAATGGGGACAGAGGGGGTGACTTAAATAATAGTTTCGGACCGATTGCAACCTGACCAAATTTGGGGCGGTAGGTTGTTTGGTAGACCAAACCACTCAATGTCAAACGTGTTTAGGGGGAGGACTATGTTGGAATATTCTGTTGTACATTTTTTTTTTTTTCAGTTGATCTGTGAACCAAGGGGTGCGAAAAATGCTCTTATTAGTAAAAATATATATATATATATATATATATATATTACACAAGATCCAGCGCACTCGCCTATCCACTAAACAGCAACTTCAATGTTGAAAGATTTTATTTGTTTTTTTAAAAACACCTAATCTAGGCAAAAATAATGGGGGTTTAGTTACATTATATGATCATACATTGCATAAGCCTGCCACAACGTCAATGTACCCCATTTTCCATTAGGTACTATGGAATTAATCTCATAAGAGCAGACATTATAGTGTAGGACAAAGATGGGGTACATTGACAGGCTTATGCAATGTATGATCATATTTAATTAAATTATAATAAAATCTTGCAAGTGCGTGTATTATTTTTTTGGCCCAGCACCCCATTTATGCATGTGCAGGTGAGTGCCAACCCTCTTTTTATATATATATATATATATATATATATATATATATATATATATATATATATATATATATATATATATATATAAATAATTTTGCAGTACACTTTCAAACTCTTTTGGTTAGTTCTGCATAGACTCTAGAATCGACATTCGGCTGACCTGACATCCATTCGAATTTCAGGTGTCTCAAAAAGTATTAAAAATTGGTAACTTAAATATTATAATCAAAAACCACTGTTTAGAGAATACACTGCTGTAGATGTGCAAGAACATCATCCCACCTTTGCCAGTGTGTTGTACGCAAGTCCCAGAATCCCTTGCCAGTTGATTGATGGCATGAAGAAGTTCTCAGATTCATAAATAGAGGCAATGTTGACCAGATAGGAACCATTCACTCCCTGTGGAAGAGAAATCAAATCTTTCCCAAGAAGACCTGTCCAACTTCCCTGAGTATACCGAACCGTAACATCTATGTCAAGCGGCTGGTATGAAATAGACCTGGAATAGAGTTAAAAGGAAATTTCATAAAACAACAATACAGTGGTATAAAATTAATATATATTTTAGAACTACACTATACTTATAATAAAAAAAAAAAAAAAGCATACAGTGAGATATAGTGCAATATATTGGCATGCGGACCTTTTTGGAAAAGTGATGAACCGAACATACACACACGCTCACTTTGTAAGATGCATAACAGCGCACACAGAATCAGGTTACAATGCCCTCTGTGGTTCTAGATGCATTGTTGTTTCAAGATAGTGAAACTTGTGTTAATATAGCTGTTATGTTACAAAATGTATTTTTAATCTTTTATTTCTAACTAGAGCACAAAGAAATATTACATTTAAAAAAAAAAAAAAGTAAAAATAAAAAGTACAAAGCATTATTTCAGCTTATATTTTGGCCACAAATTGAGAATATCCCTGTCAATTCTCTACACTTTTATAGGCTATACTTTTTTTTGGATGACCAGTCCTTAAACTATGTGTGTATAGGATGTAGACAATTCTAACAATGCATTGAATACAGGACACCAATAGCCACCAACAGTCCCAGGTTTGAGGTACCACCACCATTTTAGGTTGGTGCCTTGTGTTCCTCTATCAGGGGAACCCAGGATATCATCATAAATCACTCCAGGCAAGGCCTGACCGTTTAATTTTGTCACAAGTCAGAACTTGTCTAATTTAAAAGATATGGACCTCGATGATTGGTCACATGAATATTTCAAGACATCATGCTTAACTCGTATACAGAAACAAAAGCTTGGAAAATCTCCTTTCTACCAAGCATCCCAATATCGAGGAACATTAACCACTGTGAACCCAGTTTGCCATTTCCAGAATTTATTTTCTATTGTCCATTTTTTTTTTTTTTTTTTGTTTGCGACTCAAAAAATATTTAGTGTATAATTGTAAAATCCCACTGAAACATACAAGACAATAAATGTGCTTAGTGATTAGCTTGCGTAAATATAATAATCTGATCTTTTTCTAAATTATATTTTCAGTTATGTAGCAATCAGTAGGTTATGAAGTCTTTATTATTTTATTATTTATATAAAGCCTTCAGATTCCATAGAGCTGTACAATGGGTGGACTAACAGACATGTAACTGTAACCAGACAACTGGACGTACATTAACAGAGTGGTTGAGGGCCCTGCTCAATGAGCTTCCATTCTAATGACCTGAAAAGACCCACACACTGGCCGAAGCGCTAGTCACTTTTTGGCCATTTAAACTGCTGGAAGGTGTGTGCCTCTTTGTGCTGCCTACAACTGCAAAGGAGAGGACGTAATCTAAAGGACGGAAGCTGTGGAAAGCCCTGTTAAGCCAGTTTGATGGTTCAGTGAAAGCTTTTTTCTGGGGATATGTTACAGCTCCAGCTTAACGTAATCTCTGTAGGATTTAATATCATTATATGTATGCATGTGTTGACACGTTGCAAACAGAAGAGCAGTGGGGATCAATGATCAGAATGGAGGAGGTTATTATCAAGATAAACAAGGAGAAGCATTGAGAGATAGGTATATTTTATTGGGTGCAGAACCAAATATATCTTTTATTAGTATGCAAAGAAATGGCGAGAATGGCCTGCTTGGCTTCCGTGTGAGCAGAGTACAAAGTAAGTACCCAAGGCAGCGCCTTATTCACAGCCGATGGAATAAATAAACTATACTATGTTACATTTCAGCTCTGTCACAAAAAAGTGAAACTATAAAACGCAAACAAAAAAAACCCAAATACATCCTAATTGAAATCAGAGATAAACTAAACTGATTAAACATTGAATGGCTCCAGAGTTAGGGCAGAGATATCTGCTCGTCTGCTTTCTGCCCAAAAAATGACAAGAACTCCACATTTCTTGCTAGGCTTAGTCAGCAAGTAAAGAGATTTGAGAATCTATCTAGACACATACACACTAGGGATCGACCAATATTATTTTTCCTGAGCCGGTACCAATACCAATTATCTTGTCTTTCTGGCCAGTTTGTCAATAACTGGTGCCGATATTCTGCACTCATTTTGAAAAAGCAACACAATTTCTACACAAATCTGGCATTAACTGAACGTGCTGGCAGGAATAACAATCCCATCACTCTTAGGCAGCCAGTCCAGTACATTACAGATTATTCACCGTCTCACCTCCCTGAGTTCAGCTGAGCTCCACCTGCAGGGAATCACAGGGGGAAGTTATTTAAGGGTGCGATGTAGCACCTCATTGGTTGGCAACAAAATTTCCCACCTAACTTTTCTATTCACATGGGTGTTTTTATTTTTTTATTGTAAATATTTATTTAATCTTACTCTGTCTTAGAAGACAGAAGAAGTTGTGATGAGCAAAATATATCACAAAGTTAGGGCATATATTAAACCCATTGTGGCAGGTGGGGGAAGCAGGATTCATATTACGGGAAATAGAGCGTAAACAAAAGCAATTCTACCCGCTTTATCTTACGCCTCATCACAGGAGAGGTGCTGGTAAAAGGCAGCACAATGTACCCCAATATTTAAATTGAGGAGGGTGGTATTTTAATATGGGAAAACGAAAAAACAAAAAGCACATTTATAGGGCTAGGGTTGTTACTCAGATCAAACAGCAAGACGTGCAGCACTGTGTGTGTGTGTTGCTATAATAAAAAAAAAAAAAATGATAATATAAAACTAGGTAAGTGTCCAGGTCAGCAATAAGCCATCCACACAAAGGCCTAAATCCAATCCACAACAATTCAGTACCTTAATAACATGGACCCCGCGCAATGCTAATTTAGTTGGGGTTTTCGAACAGAAATCATCCTTTATAACAATGTGACGGGAAAATCCTTGCTTTTTTTTTACCCCTTAAGGACACAGCTTCTGAAATAAAAGGGAATCATGACAAAATATTTCCGTCATGTGTCCATAAAGGGTTAAGTTTCTTTATTGCAAGAAGAACCCTTGCTTTAATAGTGCAGCATAACATTATCTAAACAGAATGACTGCAAAATATGCTCATTGTCTTCCCAAAACAGTTTAAAACCATTGGCAATAGGTAAATTTTCAAGACCCAAACAACTTAATCTAATAAAGACCTCTATTAATGCATTTATGTTGGGGCACTCCTTACTTGACATTGGGATATGAACGCTTTACTCAGAGACAGATTAATAGTATCTTAGGTTTTTCTGGACCATTATTTTAACTGTTTTATTACCAAGATGTACAATTTTTTTTTTTTTTTTTTTTTATAAGCTATATTACCTGGCTAGAACAATATCAATATGTCTGTAAGCTTTATCAGTGGCCAGTATGCTACTTACAATATTGGTTTATTTCTATATCAAACTAAAAACAGCTGTAGGCTGTCCCTGAGTCTACTATATAGGGCCATTGGGAAAGGCTCATTCTACTCCGTTACTAATATATAGTCTCCCATTACCCTCAAAAGAGAATACGTTGAACTAGAGAAGGGCATTCTGCCTGTACAGTACTTTACCAATATTGTTACGATGGATCGATATTTATATTTTCTTCTTTTACATCATCTTTAGTCTGTTTTTTATGTTATGTAGCCCTTCTGCAGAGCAACTCCCCTTTCAGACTATCTTTATAAAGAAGGTCAAAATAGATTAGCTTGGAATTGTATTAGTGGAGATGCCAGCTATTTTATTTATTTGTTAATTTAATTGGATTCTATGCCTTATGTAGACCTTACATTAACAGAAGAGGAACAGCTATAAAAGTCACTCGAACAGTGTCTCTTCTAATGTTTACGATGCATGGAACGTGATACATTCTTCTGAAAAGTAATATTTCTTCCATACCCATGTAAATTAATAAAATATCTACAAACACACACACACACACACACACACCATTAAGAAGGCTACCCTAGATAAGATTATTGCCACCATAATTGGTCTCATTATGTGGTTAGATCATTCTTCTATCACTTTAGACATTCTTCCTGAGACTCAATATTTTTTTTTTTTACTGTTAAACCTACTGTGAATGAAATGTATACATATATATTTTTTATTTTGGTCAACAACCTTATGACTTCAGTGACCACTGTACAGCTATTGTACTACCCATACCATACCAAGAGGTCTTGCATAAAACACGTAGTGATGGACATTTTTTGTCTCTACCCTCCAAATCACATATGCCTTAAAGATTTCAGGTTAACTATTTACAAAGGGTGTTCTATGCTTATTTAGCCATACTCTCCTTTATAGTTAACTGGCATATGCACGCGCCATCCGTTATCTATTTCACAAACTATGTATCTATATTTCATCCTTTTGATACAACGTAAGTTACTCTTTGGTGTATTTGAAGTTTCTACTCATAAACGAACAGTGCTTATAGGAACACTGGCTACAGCTTATTGTTGAATTTGTTCTGGTGAGTAGAATTATACCCTTCAGACTTCTCTGTAAACACAGTCTTTCAGAGAAAATGCAGTGTTTATATTTCAGCCTAGTGATAACTTCACTGGCCACTCCTTAGATGGCTGCTAGAGCAGCTTCCCAGGGGCGTATTAGCCGTATTAAACAAGGCATTTGCCTTGGGCAGCATTTTTCTGGGGGCGGCAAAAAATGCCGCCCCCAAATGCCCAGGGCAAATGCCTAGTTAGCCTTGCGGCTAACTGACATGCCGGGTGGGCGGCTGGCGAGGGAGCTCTTCCTCTGAGCTGACTGCTCAGCTCCCTCGCGCGCCCCAGAGTGAGGCTGGGAGCCGGAAGATGACGTCATATACTATACATGTACAATTTTCTGAGCTGCCCAGTTTAATTTTCCTCCCCATTTTGATCAGATTACACATTTTGGATAAACTTTGTTAATGTAAACAATGGCATAGCTCTTACAAAAATTCCCAGATCTTTTTTGACCAGGAGCCAAAGATGCAACTTAAAGCCAGGTGATTAGAGAAGTAGTAAAGGATTTTCTTTTACTTTGGGTCAAAACTACAAAAAGGTATCAAAGAGCTAAAGGAAATCTCTAATTATAGAGTAACCAATACTGGTGTTAAGAGAATGTCAGTTAAAATGTGATGTAATAATCTTGTATTCAGTATGTTTGTAGGTTTAGTAGGCATAGTAATGGCTTCAAGAGTAGGGTATGTCATCTGCTCAGAGGAGGTGCAACCTAGTAAGGAAGACTATTAAACAAAATGTAAAAAAATAGTTTTTTTTTGTTTGGTATTTTTAAACAACATTTTTAAATACAGATTGATCACACCATCAGTTAGGCTTGAGAATAGGGTTGACAGATTGCCACATACAGTATCTCACAAAAGTGAGTACACTCCTAACATTTTTGTAAATATTTTGATATATCTTTTCATGTGACAACACTGAAGAAATGACACTCTGCTACAATGTAAAGTAGTGTACAGCCTGTATAATAGTGTCAATTTGCGGTCCCCTTAAAATAACAGCACACAGCCATTAATGTCTAAACCGTTGGCAACAAAAGTGAGTACACCCCTAAGTGGAAATGTCCAAGTTGGGCCCAATTAGCCATATTGCCTCCCTGGTGTCATGTGACTCATTAGTGTTACAAGATCTCAGGTGTGAATGGGGAGCAGGTGTGTTAAATTTGGGGTTATCGCTCTCACACTCTCATACCGGTCACTGGAAGTTCAACATGGCACCTCATGGCAAAGAATGCTCTGAGGATCTGAAAAAAAAAGAATTTTTGCTCTACATAAAGATGGCCATATTGTACTCTGCATTGTGTTGGGCAATACTTGAAAGTTCTGCCTTAAAGAACGTGGGACTTGTGAAATTATGGTGCAGTTATTTAATCATAGTGATACATTTAGGACTCCAGCAGCAATAAGGGCAACTTCATACATTGGGACCATGTGAATTTTACATTGGGTGACCGTACTTGGGAAAGGTGCAAAGTTTGGGCAAAACACAGTCTCTCAGATCACTTGTGCTGAGGACGCCTTCAATACAGCATTTCTTTTTATTCTTTTACACATGCGATGTGTTGCTGGACATATGTTCAGTTACCTTCCTTGCATGGAAGGATCTGCATGAATAATTTGTGAACGTTTCAGCATACCTCCCAACAGTACCAGAGACAACAAACACCTCACTCGGAAAATGGGCAACATTTTATATGTCTTGCCTATAAGAGCACAAAAAAAACCAAACAAGAATAAAAAAAAACCACAATATGCAGAATATTAAAAGTGGAGCAATTACCATGGAACCATAGTATGGAGTCTTTTCTTTCCATCACTCTTCTTAACTTGATTAAATATCCCCCACCATACTGTGTCACATGTTCCACTACCTGTGCTCTCCTGAAAGACTGGTTTTATGCCCTGCAATGTGGAGAGGTAATGTGTTGCAAAAAAACAAAAAAAAAAAACTGGCCTCTTTGCAGAGGCTTTAGAGGAATGGATAACCAATTATTATAATTCACTTGATGAAGTGTAAAAATAAATCCTAACTGCATGTTTTTTTCACGCTTATCACAAGATGTTTGAAATGCGTAAGGCAAGTGTAAAAACACACCCGTCTACAGGTGCAGGTCTTCTAGGAGGCACCCATTTTGAGCACTTGCATAATGTCTTCTAAAAGCAGACATGGTCATGGTGGATGGAGTAACCCTTTAGCCATGTGAGAACACATTCCACCTCTAACCATAAAGGAACATCTTCCACCACTAGAGATGATACCATCTAAGCCTCTCTGTTAGTCTACTTATTATTATTATTTATATAGCGCCAGCAAATTCCGTAACGCTGTACAATGGTTGGACTAACAGACACCTAATTGTAACCAGACACATGGACGCACAAGAACAGAGGGGTTGAGGGTCCTGCTCAATTAGCTTACATTCTAGAGGAGTTAACATCTTTACCTGCTGAGTAGCATTGTTCGATCATATTACAATAATGCCATTTCTTATCCCCCAGCAAAAATCTTATTCTGAAGAACATAACAGTTCTTCTGCTGAAAAATGGCGCCAGAGGAAAGTCAGCTTACTGCACAAGCATATACATATATTCAGTAAGCACCCATCTTTGCACACAGCGCAAAAACAGGCAAAATCATGTCAGGACATGTGTAAGGTGGATTTATGTATTTTTATTGTAAAAACTAGTGAAAATTAGTGTCCTGCATCCAATGCAGTCCAAGGGGCTGAAAATCATGATTGTAAAGTTGTGTGAGTAGGTTTCATATTATTATTATTGCTATTTATATAGCGCCAGCATATTACAATATTATCAGAGGGGGAGATTTAACAATAAATGAGACAATTACAAAAGCTTACAGGAACAATACGTTGAAGAGGGCCCTGCTCAAACAAGCTTACAGTCTAAAGGGGGTGTCCAACAGGACAGGAAATAGCAATCAAATAAGGTGGGAGTGAAGCAGAGCTGGAATAGAGAATAGAGTGCTGCCCTTTAGGAGAGAGCAAGAGACAGGTATGTGAGGTAGAGGTTACTCTGGGAGGCCATAAGCTTTCCTAAAGAGATGGGCATTTAAGGCACTTTTTAAATTATTAAAGACTTGGGCAGATCTTGATGATCGTAGGAAGGCTATTCCATAGGAAAGGAGCCGCCCGCGAGAAGGCCTGCAAGCGTGAGTTGGCTGTAAGGGTGCGAGCAGCGGACAGGAGGTGGTCACAGGCAGAGCGGAGAGACCGAGAAGGGGCATACCTGCGGATCATTGAAGAAATTGGTCAGTGCTTTATAGGTGTGGATTAGTACCTTGAATGGACTCCTATAGGATACAGGAAGCCAATGTAAGGACTGACAAAGGGTAGAGGTGTGAGAGGAGCAACAGGAGAGGAAAATCAGTCTGGCTGCAGCATTCATTACAGACTGTAGTGGGGCAATACGACTTGTGGGAAGACCAATTAGGAGAGAGTTACAATAACCTATGTGAGAGATTACTAGAGCATGGACAAGCTCCTTGGTAGCATCTTGTGTAAGAAAGGGGCGAATGCGGGCTATGTTTTTAATTACACTCTGTATCAACAGTATACCCACAATATCACATTCTCCACTATCTCAATAACAACTTTTAGATTCTAAGATAAAGGAAAGAGAGCAAACTGATAACAGTTTTTCTTTTTAAAACTTAGAAATACATATTTTTACTTATTTCGTATTAAAGGGACACTAAAATCATTGGGACAAATACAGCTTATTGTATTTGTTCTGGTGAGTAGAATAATTCCCTTCAGGCTTTTTACAGTAAACACTGTTTTTCAGAGACAAGGTAGTGTTTACATTATAGCCTTGTGATGGCTACTAGAGGTGCTTCCTGGGGCAGTGCTGCACATAGATACAGGCATTCAGTGTCTCCACCCTCTGCATGGAGACACTGAACTTTCTTCAGAGACTGATTCAATGCATCTCTATGAGGAGGTGCGTATTGGCCTGTGTTGTATTAGGCTTGTGCTGGCTCCTCCCCTGATCTGCCTCCTTGACAGTCTCAGCCAATCCGATGCTTTACTATGTGTAAGCATTGTGATTGGCTGAGAGATTTACTTCTGTTAATGTCAGCCAAGTAGGTAGATCGGGGCAGAGCCAGCAACAACAGGCTGGAATACAAGTAAGATTTGTACTATATTAAGGGAAGTAATGGGGGGGCCATCAGGGGCTAGATAGTGGTTTTAACACTATAGGGTCAGGAATACAGGCTTGTGTTTCTCATCCAATAGTGTTCCTTTAATGTTATACTTTAGTATAGATAGATATACAGGGACACAGTTTCACTCTTCCTGGATCTTATTCATCATATCTGGACTAAGAGGCATAAATCTGTCACAAAACAACCAGATATACAGCTGTACAAACTGTGCAGTGAGTCAGTAAGTATGCAATATTGAGACTAGCAGTGGGTGACCAGCAATATTGCAATATTTGGACCAGCAGTGGGTGAGGAGATGTGTTATAGGCAGAGAAGGATTCAGATCCCACAAGGCCTTAACAAATAACCAGTTTAGACCTCCCACTTCATTCTTCACTTAGGGATAGTTAATGGGGCCAGTAAATTAATAGTTCTTGGACCTATGTGACCTGGGCTTCCAAGCCTTCAATTTACTTTAATATTGGGTTTTGGTAGTAGGACTACTGGAACCATAGCAACTTCAATAAGATTATGTTGTTAAAGTGCCTGGAGTGTCCCTTTGAGGGCCTTATTCCCATGTGAACTTACAATCTAGATAATTAAGTTGAGGTACATTTTCTGCTAGATTGTCAACAATCAATTGTCAATTGTTTCAGCAGGAACTCTGATTAACATTGCACCGGTCGATTTCTGTTGATTGGTCGGTTACTTCCTGCTATATGTCCCCAAGATAATCCGATAAAACATTACAAAAAAAAAATGTACCACCACATAAAGTTTTTTTACACAAAAAGAAAAAAGACAATTAAACAGTATATACATGTTCTTTATCCACATGAAACATTTACCAACCGTGAAGAATTGAAGAACGTTGTTATATCTGGATTTGGCGAGCCAGCAACCGCAAAATTACTGCTTCCAGTATCCACCAATATATTCAACTATATATAAAAAAAGGAATAAAATACAATTAGTGTTTTGTTTCAGAAAACTGGATAAATGTCGCTAACCCAGCTCTGCACATTATTAATACGTGAAAAGATCTTGAACTGCATCAAGCTATTAAAAAGTCAAATAGCTGGTCTAAAATAACTCTTCCGACAAGATGTATTCCCCTCCCCCCCAGATCAGACATATTATAAACACATGGAAAGAACTACAATTTAAAATGGATTTGGCACATTTTCAAAAGCACTTATACAGCACAAACTAGGGAGAAAAAACAAAACAAACAAAAAAAGTTAATATGTAGTAAATGTTGAAAAACAGGATCTGTTCAACTCCGTTTGCAAAGCAGACGTCTATTACCTTCCACAAATGGTATTCAATATAGTGGAGCTAACTTGCAACTGATTATTTTTTAGGGCAGGTTTTTATTTTATTTTTTTTAAATGTATTCTTGGAATTCTCTGTGTGCTTGTAGAATGCCCTTTAACAGTCTGAAGAAAACAGTTTATACATTTGTATGTAAACAATGCATGCAAGTCTACTGCGATGCGGGGTGGCAAGTCACTGGTGGCATTGTTACGGGTATAATGTGTCTGTGTGTTAATAGACGGACGGTCTAGTCAGGACATGGGAATTGTATGAGAGGACGGCATGCAGTATGGAGTCTGATCAATGCATTCTTTGCTTTATAGCAAAGCAGTGGGAAGGAAATTCTGTTGAATAGTTCAACAAAGACGAAGCATACATTTTTCAGCCATGTTGGATTCTGCCTTGTGGGAGCTATCTAAACAGCATTCACAGTTGCTCAATGCACACCTCATAATATGGTCATACTTTAATAGCCACATGTCACTCTTTGAACTCACAGACAGTTTTACAAGCAAAACTGACTTGCTCCCTGCATTGGCCTGGGTCCTCCCATCCCAATTACACATCACCAACATGATGTTGATAGTTCCTCTTTTTAAAAAGAGCTTTGCAGTATAGTCCAGTTTAGAGGAAATTCAGGCTGTTACGGGGATTCTTTGAGCAGTGGATTATTGGAATGACTAAAACATTTATAAAATGTATATCAACAACTGGCAGCGTTATGCAATCAAGTAAGAATGGTCAGAAAATCAAAGTTCATTTTTAAAGGGACACTCAAACTTGCTGGAAGAACGTGTCCTCTTTTTTTTCGCTTTTACAAAAAGTGAAAATTTCAATAGAAATTACCACTTTTATTACCTCCTGTTACTTCGTGGTTTGGTTAGCTCAGTGGAGATAACCTAGCCCAAAGGCTTCAAATAAAGATCTGTAGCTTTTGCAAGCATTTTTTTCCAAACACCCAATTAAAAAAGAATAATAAACGGATGTTTTCCCTGGGGGGGGGGGGGGAAGGGGAATTTGTATTTGTTTTTTTTTTGTTTTTTTAAATTTGGACAGCAAAGTTTCCCTTTAACACCAAAAAAGACAAACTGAAAACAGAAATGTATCCAATTCAGCTATTTTCACTTTTTAAATTTACTTTGAATTCCTGGCAAATTACCTATTTGTAAATAACCTTGTTAGGTAATTAGAAAGTTTTAAAAAATAAACACGCAGCCCACCATTTTACGTTAGTGCGGAGGATGTCAAAGACTCAGACAGGGAAATATTCACTAAACAGTGACTGAAAACCATACTCGCTCCCTTAAGATAAAATCGAGTTGAATAAGGTTTCATCTCTCTAGCTTTTCATGCATTGCGCAGAGAATGACGAGATAATGTATCCAATAGGAACGGTCACTTCTCATGATTCTAAAAGTATATGATTTATCCCCTATATTTTATAAACATGTAGTTGTGAGGTATGGGAAAAAATGTAACTGTAGAAATCTACATCTGTTTATCCAGCAATTGGGTTCCTTTTATTTATACCTGGCAGTCACCATAGAGATAGCATACAGAGAAATTAAACAATGTGTACCCTGGCTGTGCCGGGAATTAACTTAAAGGGACACTATAATCACCCAGACCACTTCAGTTCAGAGAAACTGCATTTTATGCCTCCATCGCGCAGAGAGTCCATAGGAAAGCATTGAGAAACGCTTTCCTATGGACACTTTGAATGCGCACGCAGCACTTGCCGCACATGCACATTCGGGGAGCTGACGTCGGCCGGGGAGGAAAGGTCACCAGCGCCAAGGGAGCCCGGCGCTGGAATAAGGTAAGCTGCTGAAGGGGTTTTAACCCCTTCAGCGCCATGGGAGAGGGACCCTGAAAACCGCTTTGTTTTCCTGACACCATAGTGATCCTTTAATATGAACGTAAAATAAAAAATAAAAAAAGGTTCACACACACATTAAACAGGATTTTAGCATTTCCGTTAATGTAATTTCTAGATAAGTGAGAATAAAAAAAATAAAAATAAAAAAAAGGCACAGATTGAATATACCTTACTGGCTGTATACCTCCTGGAACAGAGAAGCTGCTAAGGCTTCTCAGTCAGTCCTGGCTCCTCTATTGAACTATGTATGGTTACAAATGGTTAGGTAACTTACAGGATTAGAACATAGTCTACAAAAGAGGTGAATCCAATCGTTGGAAAGCAAACAATCAATCGCTGCACTTATGCAAACTCATCGGAAATGAAACATAAGTTTGAAAAGCACAAATCTAACCTAAAAATATGTGTGTGTGTGTATATATATATATATATATATATATATATATATATATATATATATATATATATATATATATATATATATATATATATATATATATATATAAATAAAACTCAAGAATAGAATGAAAACAAATGTGAATTATAGAAACAAATATCCAATTTTACTAAATCTACAAAAAAAAAAACAACAAAACAAACAAACAAACAAACAAACCCCATATACATTTCTCTGCTTCTCAAGTTCGGGAAAAATCACTCCAGACAAGTCTTCCGCTATATTTTTCAGCAGGTTAATAGATGGGAAAATTAGCAGCGAATTTAACTAATGCCTCATTTAACACAAAGATTCCTAATTACATTACAAGCCCATCTGCTACAAGCGGCTTGCAGCCACCGCACACTAAATCTTTTCTGGCCTCGCTCAGTTGGGCTTGCATGCAATTATTACATGTTATTACTGGTGCTCATTTTGTTAAATCACATTTTTTTTGTAAAGTATTTCATCTGTTTAAGCATATGTTTTTTTGAAAGGAGCTGGCAGGGTAAGTTATCATGCATTACTTCTCCACTAGAGACAGCGCCATCTGTATTTATCCATCGGAATACTCAGAAAAACAAGATTTCCACATCGAGTATCTCATCTTGTTCTGGTTAGTTAGATCTCCGGAGAAACAATATCAAAACAGAACAGAACAGCAGGCTGTGATAGAACGTGGAATGTTAAGATTTATTTAATGCCAAAGAAATTGATCATTTTATTTATATGGGGCACTTTGCTCATATTCAAACAAGGTAGCGCAACAAACAAAGACATGACATACATTTTTGTCAGGAGACAACAAGATACAACAAAAGAAATGCAAAAGATCCAACGTGTCATTAAGACATATTGTTCTCACCTTTACACAAACTGACGGCAGAAAGGGTGTGTAACATTGAACAAATAATGTGAGTAAATAAAGCCAATGCATCTTGAACAGCAATCAGATGAGTTTTAAGACCTGATGGCAGAGGCGTTGCTAGTTTTCCAGATGCGGCAGATATCCGTATAGTTATGTAGCGCTAAAATGCAAACCAGTAAAATCCAACTGATATATTGGATATGTTTGTGGTCTGGTAATAGAAGGGTTAATAAACAAAGGTGTTCGCTCAACAGCTTAAATTGCTCATATAATTGGGCACATATCGCGGTTTGTATATTGCTAGATAAGCGTTAATAAAGGGCTTGTGTATTATATTAAAGGGGGGAGGAAGGAGTTAGCGCACATTCCTTTGTGTGTAATTGTAAGTGATAATTTATATATATTCTAAATTTCAAGCTCTGTAAATCAGAATCATTTTTTCACGGCTTCTCTCTCTGTTGCAATAAAGTATTTCCACTACTCCGACCTCTGACTGGTTATTGGAAAAGGCTTTTTCAGAGGGTATTGGCTATTTGGTTAGCACAGAAACACCTGAGACTTTAGCACAAAGGAAAAACTGAATGATTCAGACACTAAAAGGGAGGTGAAGATATGACAGGACGTTTCCGGGCCTCGATCACGAACAATATGCTCCAGATTCTCTCCAGAATCTTAATGAAAGCAAAGCCAGACAATCACATGCTGCACAGCCAGATGCAATGCGGTCACACACACACCCCAACATAAGCAAAAGTGATAACTCGTAAATGGCAGAAGATTGAACCATGAGACTGCAGGGACATCAAAACGGTTTCATTCAGCTTAAGTTGTTTTGCTGATGATAGTGTCGATTTAAGTGGATTTTTTATGAATGTGAATAGAAGAGATTCAGTGTATAGATAGAAGTAAAAAGAATACAAACTTCAAAACAAAGCACAAGACAATACCAAGAATGGACAACTCAAGTAGTTTGACCAACTCCAGTGTCAAGCTAATCCTAATTCTATGCAAATCATTTAGGTTGTTTTGACCTTGACATTAAGATGTGGCTGACAACCCTCTAGGCCAGGAATAGGCAACCTTCGGCACTCCAGATGTTTTGGACTACACCTCCCATGATGCTTTGCCAGCATTATGGGTGTAAGAGCATTATGAGGGATGTAGTCCACAACATCTGGAGTGCAAAATGTTGCCTATCCCTGCTCTAGGCAGAGTGAGCAAGGGGTCCACATCTGGATTACACTTTTCAAGCTAATGTAGAACCAAGGCAATTTCTAAACATAACAGCCAGCAACAGTCAACAAGCCCAAAACGATCATCCAGGGTTGCTTGTGTACAGCGAACCTACCCACATTTCAGATCTGGACAGCTCTTTAGAGTAGATCAGTCTGATATGTAAATGGTCTATGTTCTTTCTGGAATGGGCTAATACTAGATTAAAAACAAAAAAAATGCAAGCTATTTCAGCAGTTTTTCCATTCTCAAGATTCTCTGAAAATAATAATAAAAAAGAATTATAGTTGGAAACTGAAAACACAACATAGTATAAAATATAGTTTCTATGTCCAAATAAAAATCAAAAGAAAAACTTTGCCCTTGTGTTTGGTGCTTGACGCTTGTCATTTCATTATAAGATAGAGGGCCCTAAATTGATGATGTAGATCTGTCCTGTTATGCACACGTCACCTTTAGGTTGCTAGCAAAGTCCAAAGATGAAAGTCATTGTATTTTTTTTTACGTTTTTTTGGGAAGGAGGAAGTTATTAGAATGAGTCTTTAGAAAGTTAACTTTCCTGAAGAATGGGTTAGCTTGCTGCATTAGTGAGCATAGTACTGGATTTTCAGCTGCATCCAAAAATCATACTGCCCTAACACGTACCTCCCAAGTGTCCCTATTTAGGAGGGACAGTCCCTATATTGAGCCCAAATTGTGCTGTACCTATTTTCTATCCAAATGACCCTCTTTCCCAGGAGTTTCATATTGTTGATGTGTCTGAGTGTATAACAGAGCTCCACAGCAATAATACTCCCAGTAATGTGTCTGAGTGTATAACAGAGCTCCACAGCAATAATACTCCCAGTAATGTGTCTGAGTGTATAACGGAGCTCCACAGCAATAATACTCCCAGTAATGGGTCTTTAAACAATAATAAATGGGTTTAAAAATTAGTTGCGCTCAGCAGCAAGGATGAAATGGCTCTATTGCCTAGTGTTAGAGCAGCAGTGATTATGCTCTAAAAATGCGATGGGTGCATGTGCTTCAGCTTTTGTCAAACCATTTAGATGGTTCAGCAAATCCTAAGGTCTCCCCAGCATTAGAACACTATCCTTTCTGCTGCCAACATGGTAATGAGGAAATTCTCTCATTATCCACCCAAAATATTTGCAAAGTTAGCAGGGTTTGGCTGTGTCTAAATTATGGTTAGCTACAGGATTAACAAAAGCTCCTGTGTCCAAGGTAACATCAATTTGGAGGCTTGGAGCATACAGGGTTTCGGTGCACAGAAATTAATTTGTCTAATATGCTCTGAAGTTACAGTTACTAATGCGTCATTGGAGAGCTCTAAAGTTTTGCAATACTGTAAACGAATGCATCTAGGAGCTATCACAGAGACGAAATGCAGACTCTCATACTACAATCCTAGTATAAGACAGCATTCAAACTATTATGTAAACAGAAAGCAGGACGTTTCATGGCCTTGACAAAAATGAAGACACCTGCGTTGTTTACAATCGAGTATAACCTTAAACTGTTGGCCTTCAACCTACCCACTGCTCAGAATCATCATACCCTTACTAATGGTAAGCCTCTAAAATTAAATACATTGGGGTAAGGTGCCAAGACCTTACCGCTCACACAAGTCAACACCACTAATTGTAAGACTATTTTACAGGAGCTCTTAATAAACCTAAAAAAATAAATAAGATCTTCCACACAACCGAGGTGGGACGTGTGGACATTCTGAAGATGAACATGTTGGCCTGTATCAAGTATATGTTGCAATTCCTCCCTATTCATTTTCCCTTGACATTATTGTTCTGAACAGAGAGAGATTTATTTCAGGGGTTCTAAACCTGCTTTCATTAAAATGTTCCCTTTATCATTCTACCCACAAAATTGAGCAGAATTGGTGAGTCCTAATATTCATAATATCCACCAAAGAAACAGTGGAACCACGTAAACGTTTAGAAGTAGTTCCATGCTCGTTGTACGGTCCACAATGGATGTCACAAACTCAGTATTCACTGCAAACACCTCCACACTTGACTAAACTAACTACCACGTGATAATGGAACTCAACAATTCAAACATCTTTGCCAAGCGCTACCCCACTATCTTAAAGGGACACTCCAGTGCCAGGAAAATAATTTTTCCTGGCACTGCAGGTACCCTCTCCCTCCCACCTCCCATCCCCGGTTGCTGAAGGGGTCATAACCACCGTCGGGGGAGACCTAATGCGCATGCGCACTAGACCTCTCCCTAGGAAAGCATTGAAAAGGCTTTCCTATTGGGATTTAAGCAAGGAGGTCCTCACGCAGCATGCTATAGACCAGGAAGTGCCCTGCTATACATATATACAAATTTTTCTTTTTTGGATCTATTGCTGCTTTGCCATCTCTTTTGCAACATTCTTTCAATGTATTACTCTTTATTAGTATTGGATACTTCATTACATTTATTGTAACTATGTTGCACTCTGTATGAGCACATTAACTCCACTTTTTCTACAGTTAGCTTCATACAGTTTAAAGCTAAGCAGTCCAGTGTTATGTATTTAGATATGTTTTGATAAGTTTTTCTAAATTTTTTTAGCTCTAATAAAATTATTTTTTTCTGTAGTTTTTCTGCAGTTTTATATTTGTACTGCTCTAAAAGGGGTACTGGTCTTGATGGAACTAGCCTCCTCTCTTGGTAGAGGAGTATTTTTCTTTATCGCTTATATATTATAGGGTTAGGCCCTTTATTACCCCTGTTACCCTTTCCCGTACTTCTTTGCTGGGTTGTTTCCTGGTTAAGAGTGCTCTGTATATCTTATTTAGGTTTATTCTTCTTACAAATTACTAATATATAATAAATTAAAGGATGTTACAGGATAATGGATGTTCAACAACAAATATTAATTGCTGGACTTGGGAAGGGAGATGGAATCTTTAAAGTCAGAGAACAGAGACAACAAGCCTTGTGGTCCTTTGTCCACTATTCTATATAGATATGACCGTAATAACGTCACACATTTGAGCTTAAACTCTGGACATATAAGAACAAGTATGAAAACCCTCTTTATACTCAGTCACATTCCAGAGTTCTCAGACAAAGAAAGACATGTGACTTATTGATCCATCTGTTAAGTATGCTCAATCCTGACATCCCTGACTAATGTGAACAGTATATGCACTATTATACACAGGGCAAGCCTTTACAGAGCAAAAAGAATTTCTTCAGTAGGTGTTTAAGTGTGAACACCTGTGCCAGAGGCATCGTGAGAGAGTGCTGTCACCAAAACACAGGGGAAGGTGCATACACACACACACATATATATATATATACACACACACACACACACACACATATATACACACACACACACACACACACACACACACACTTTTATTCTTCCCAGTAAATGCTGGTATATTGTTCACTGAGGTGAAGGAATGAGGAACTGATAGATGTTTACAACCTGCACCACTGATAGAATGCAAGAAAAAAAAATGTAAAAAAAAAAAACCCCACTAACTTATCTTCAAATTATGTACAGCTTCCCACAGATCGCCTCCCAGGCGGTGATCTTATATAGATAAAAATATATAGACAAAAAATACTTGTGATACAGCTGGGACCACATCAGCTGTATCCCAAGTGTTTATTGTCTGTATATGGTTTTATCTTTAGTCTTACCCTCAACCCAGCACAGAGAAAAATAAATCTGCATTGTTCTATTTCTACAGCAAATTAAGGATCTGCATTGAAACTACTAACACAGTGGGTTCCTACAACATTTGTCTCTAATGTAGAAGACTTGCGTTTTAAATGCGGGACTATGGTTGGCACAGCTGGACAGATCTGGTGTTACTCAGTAATGTTATCATATTGGTAGAATATCTACTCAAAAAAGACTGCCCACCACCATTTACCCAGCTATATTTTTAAACCATCTTGCATATACATTGCCACATGCAATGGTTTCTCAGATTAGTGATTGCCACTATAACTCTACTCCACCCCCTCCCCCACATTGGCCTATTGTGAACCTTCCACTCACCATGAATGGATTTATGAAGTGCCAAATTCTGTAGCACTATACTATAGATGGACTAACAGACATGTATTTGTAACAAGATGAGCTGGATGTGCAGGAACAGAGAGTGTTGAAGGCCCTGCTCAAATCTAGAGCAGAGGTTCCCAAACAAGTCCTCATGACCCGTCAACAATACAGGATTTATGCATTTCTCTTTTTTTATACTAATGTAGATACTGAAAAAGCTGGGTGTGTTGGTGAGCCATGAGGACTGGGTTGGGAACCACTGTTCTACAGGATAGAACTCCTACAAGTAGTTGTTTATCTAGTCTTCAAACCCAATGCCAAATATGGTCTCAGTACCTTCAACAGGTATTTCAGGTGACACCTGGGGACTGCATGACACAGTAACCGCTATCTACTGCCATGAATAAGTTTTTACAGTTTCCTAGCTGCCATTTGCTCAGCAGACAGAAACCTCTCCTATACTTCAACTTCCACCATTATTCATTATCACACTTCTAGTTCTCTTTTCCTACTCATTTCACTTCCAAGTAATCACTACCACCATCTTTCGGAGATAGAATGTGTGCACATTTCTAGGTTTCCTTGGTGTCCAGGTAATGGTGGGATGTTAAGATTTGCATTGGATGCCAGGAAAAGCCAGAAAAGCCTTTTAGTTGATACAGATCCAAAATGTTAAATAAAGAACCAAAAAACACAAAAAAAAAACACACATTTAGCATAATAAGAGCAGCAAATCTTTCATTAGGATATTCCATTAACTCTGAAGTGACAGTTCTTTGATCATAAAACCAAACTAGAAAGCCTGTTACGGTCTTCATTTGGAATGTACAGAATAACTGATAGAACTTGAAGAGTGACTTTTTAACTAGGCTCACATCTTCAGAGCAGACCATTTACACAGTGCCACATACATATATACAGTGAAATGAGAGATTATTATTCAATACATCCAGCATATGGACATATAAAATAAGTGTAAATCACACTATTCAGGGTTCTATGTCAGGAAGGAAAGTTTACTTAAGGTACACCTGTGATTTCATTTGCCTAAGTTAAGCCAAGTGGCCAGGTCTTGGATGGGAGATCTACTCTCAGACCCTTGGCTAATGAGTGTTTTCACTTGCTTCTTCTGCCCCCGCTCTCCCCTCCCCCCCCACCATGAAAGAGTTAAAAACCCTTCTAGTCACTTACTGATTCCAGCGCGGAGGTCCCTCAGCACTGGATCAGGCTCTTCCTCTTTCAGCCAATAAGGGGAACAAAATGTGTGTGTGTAGTGGTCAAAGCATGCACATTAAGCCTTTTGTATAGGAAAGCATTCACTCAAAGCTTTTTTGTGTTAGATGTCCTCATTCAAAGTGTGAGGACATCATGCATCATTTCATAGAGTTAAAAGGAACACAATAGTGTCAGCAACACAAACATACATTCCAGGCATTATAGTGGTAATATAACTGTTTAGGTCACTGACCCCTTTTCCTCCCTATGAAAAGAAAGTTTTACCGTCTCTGAAATGGCGTTGTTTACATTACATTAAAAAGTCTAAAGGGAAAGGCTGAAGACACTTATCTCTAGTTGTTCTGGTGACTATAATGTTCCTTTAAATCATGTGAAACTGCAGGTGGCTGTCTAGTAGAAAGCCACTAGAGGCAGCCTTAACCCTGCAATGTAAATCCCATTGTACAGTGCTAAGGAATCTGACTGTGCTATATGAATAAATTAATCATAAACATCGCAGCTTCTCGTAAACTGCAATGTTTGCAGCTGCAGGGCTTAAATGACAGGGACACTGTGACCTTGGTTTGGGTGGCTATAGTCCCTTTAAGCATTGAAGCATACTGCCCAACATTCTACAGATCAACAATGTATCATTCACAGACTGATTTCTAAACACATTTATTGTAGTTTAGACACATTGCGGGGACTATTATTGCTGTGAAGCTCTGTTATACCCTCATACCCTCCTAGAAAAGAGCCACATTATGTTAAAAAGGACAGAGGGATTTGGGCCCTAAAAAGGGACACTTGGGAGGTATGTTGAAGTAATATTACATAATATCTCTGCCAAATGTTTGCTAAAGCCCACACCTGAGCCCCTGGAGGATAAAAACTAAAATAAAATTGGATAGTAAAGGAGGAATAAACTAACATATGTGCCGTCTGTTTCCCTGTTAGATTAATGAGCTTTGTACATCCTTACACTTTGTTACAGCCAAGTCTGTGAATTACATAAAAGCGTCATCGTGTATTTCTTTAGACTTCACTAACAAAGTACAGATTTTTTTTTCAGACTTACAAGATCTAGAACAAGTTACAAATGTACACAGCTCTTTGAGAAGAGAAACAGACAGGGAGAGGGGGGGAGAGGGGAGAGGAGGGGAGAGAGAGTGTAAAGAGAGACAGAGAGACCACAAAAATGGCAAATTAATCCATTATTAGAATGTCAGGTGTCAGTCGGATGTAAAGAGCAATTCACATGATGCAGATTTTGAAAGCAGATTTTCCATACCCTTTGCTAATTAATCATAGATCCCTGCTGGGAGGTTTAGGGTTCACACACAGTTCTTTATTAACTACCAATCAGCTGACAGACCACTGAGGGATTCTGGGAAGTCACAAGGAATCCCGTGACAGATAAAAGAAGAATTCTATGGACACACAAAAAATTTCAAAAGAAAGAGTCAAAGATCTAAAATAAATACTAACATCATCCGACATTTCACACCCACTTCAAAAACGTCACCATATTGTGACTAGTTCAGGTTCACAAGTTGGCCTTGTTAAGTCCTCACACGCGTGTCAAATGCCTGTTCAGATCTCCTGATCTTTTGCTGCATGGAATGTAATATTTCTCGGATATAAAAAAGGTATTTACTGCGGTACGTGTATTATTCCCACATGTAACATGATCTTTTATTTTCCAAATCAATGGGATATTAACGGTGCAATGCAAGGACCACTAATCTCAATCAGGCATGCAAAATACATGTACCAATAAACTCAAGATTAGTCACAGTTACACTGCTGCATGGTGTGACAATGTGTCTTTGGACAATTCATTGATCGAAGGATAAATCTAACTGCCATTCTGGGGTCAAGAGGGAATTTGTTTCCTAGTTTGTTGCAAAATTGGAAGTGCATCAAACTGGATTTTTTTTTGCCTTTTTTTGGATCAACAGTAAAAATAAATGTGAGGAAGGCTGAACTTGATGGACACATGTCTCTTCTCAGCCTATGTAACTATGTAGATTGTAAGCTAATTTGGGCATGGTCTTTTGTGTCTGTCAATTATTTGTTAAATGTCCCCCACTGTAAAATTCAAGGAGGGGATATGGACTGCCATTAGAGGGGCTTCCACAGCACAGAACAAGTAAAACTGACGAGAAGTGGATGCTCCCACGGGAAAGCTTGCCACGCATGCACATAGTGTCCCCAACATGCCGCTGAGGAGCAGTGGTTTGGACCATCTCTGAGCAGAATTGCAGGTGGCAAGCAGAGGGGCTTGGTGCTGAAAAAAAAATTATTCAATAAAAGAAAAAAAGAGAATATAATTATTTTAAACAGGGGGGCTGACATGTTTTTAAAGGGACAGGTACATTACAGCGTTAGAAATACCGGTTTGTATTCCCTAAAGCTTTTATCGATCTTGCTAATGACAGCATATGAGGAGATCGGACAGGCTCTCACATTAAAGGTAAGTGCATGCACCCTACAAGTCATTGGAAAAGATAGAAAATGTTTGTGTGCACACAGTGAACCCATAGCATTAGAAAGAAATCATAACATGGCTTAAAGGAACACTATAGGGTCGGTAATACAAACGTGTTGTCCCCTTAAATATAGAAAAATCTTACCGTATTTCAAGCGCAGCGCTGGTCTGTCCCTGATCCGCCTCCTTGGTTGACATCATCAGAAGTGGTTATCTCAACCAATCACAATGCTTTCCCATAGGATGATCTCAACCAAGTAGGCAGGTTGGGGCGATGCTAAATGCTACCCTGGCCAATCTGCATCTCCTTAGAATGATGAATTGACATGCATCTCAATAGGGAAAGTTCAGCGTCTCAATGAATGTCAGGGCTGCACAGTCCCAAGGAGTACCTCTAGCAGCCATCTGAGGAGTGGCCACTAGATGTGTTCCTAGGCTGTAATGTAAACACTGCCTTTTCTCTGAATACAGTGTTCACTGTAAAAAGCCTGAAGGGATGGATTATACTCAGCAGAACAAATACAGTAAGCTGCAGTTCTGATGACTATAGTGTTCCTTTAACAGAATTAAAAATAAATAAATCATGGGGATGGCAGTGGACAGCTAACCCCACAGTAAATGAAGACATAACTGCTCTGCCTGTATGTTTAAGTCATCGTTACGAAGACTGGATGAAGTTCCATAAAACGGAACTTACATGAGGCTGTCAGTGTTCATGTAACACTCGTAGAATAAATTGTCTGAACTGGCTTCAATACATTCAGCTTGTCTGTCGGTACATCGTGCTCTATTGAAATCTTATGACATGTCTTATCCTGAAAAAAAAAAAAAAATGTGCCCTGCAGCACAGAATGCAAATTAGCTCTGCTCTAATGGCAAACTAGGCAGTGCCTTGGCAAAGCTACACACATCATAAAACATTTCAAATGATAGATTTCACTGCAAATTAATCAACAAACATTAGGAGAGGTTTAAAAACCATGAAATGCCTTTGGCATCTTTAATTATTTAATTACTAAAGAAATTGTGTCAAAAGGATAGCATTTTGTATTCCCATTGTAAATAATACAATATGTTTGTGTTTTCAAATTAAAACGTGCGTTAATAAAGAAACAATTATAATGAAAGTTTGAATGCAATGATAATGCATATGATTACACTGGATAAATCAGTTCTGTGCTGTGAAAGCGCAGTCAAAATATCTTGAAACAGAGGGTGTGAATGCAGAGTAGAGCATGAGACACTGAATGTCAGTACTGCATAGTGTGCAGTACTGCCCCAGAAAGCACCTATAGCAGCCATCTGAGGAGTGGCCAGTGGAGGTATTCCTAGGCTGTAATGTAAACACTTCCTATTCTCTGAAAACAGTGTTTACAGCAAAAAGCCTGAAGGGACTGACAATACTCACCAGAACAACCACATTAGGCTGTAGTTTTTCTGGTGACTATAGGAGGTGGCTTATGACAGACTGCTTGAAACAAACTCCTTTACAGTAGGGGCCAGTCAAAAGAAACAAACAGTCGGAAACACAATTGTAGAATTTTCCCAATTCTGCTCTTTTGAACCAATATTTGTTGTTCCCTAGTCAATTTCCGATTAAGGCAATAACCTGGTTAGCTATAAAGACTTTACATAAATATATATTTATCCCTATAATTGCCAGTAGTTTGACTTAAACAAGATACAGATCAAGAATTAAGCATTAACCAAAACAACTGATTTCAAGGTCATGTTTAATTTTAAAATACGTAGATTGCAAGGCCAACATTTTGGAATCATTACGAAATATACTAATGTATGTGATAATTCACAAGTTGTTTTTCTTCTTCTACACGGCCCCCTTTCTCCTTTTCCGTGAATTACTGAGCATGCATGGTTTATAAATGCACCCGCAGGAAATAAAACAAAAGCTATGCATAACATGACAGGACTAACTTGACCAAACCATTAATCAACTCATACAAGCCACAGGCCTTCTGAAGGCTCTCCCTTGCAATTCCCACATGGCCAAGATGTGCTTGCACTTTCATTCCCCTCCAAGAATATGGGTAAATTCTTAACCTTGGACACTAATGAAGATGGTTTGTATGCTATCCATAGGAATTACAATTTATGAACAGTATTACCCCATTAGCCACTTGTATTAAACTTTGCAAGTCATACCAACTCTATTGAGGAAGGATTTATTCAAAGACTCCAACAGCGATCCTTGAGAGGAAGACGTTCTGCAGCAGAACATAGACCTCACTTATTTTAGGATTACATAACCAAACATCTTCTATTCCCTAAACTGAGGATTTAACCAGTGTGTGTGGTATACTGCTGCGTCTCAAGCCAACTCGAAGTGCGCCACGAACAAGTCAGGAGTTAAAAGCACACTTTACAGACTGCATTAAACTTGTGATTCCTAGCCCGCAATTAAGTAAAATGAATACGTGGATTTGGATAGAAGTATGCGTCTCTCTCTTTATGTCTTTTTAGGATTTGTGAACAAATCTCTCTCCGCTGAGCCAAACTCTTCAAATGCCTGTCAATCTATGGACAAACAAATCGATTAGATCGACAGGCATTTATTTGATTCATTCAGCACAGATGAAAGAATTGTGCGGAAGTCCAATATTTATAAGTTGCTGATGGAAAAAGAAAACAAAAACACACACACAAAAAAAAAACAAAAAAAAAAACGCAACGGTGTGCCTTGAAATTTCGAAGAAAGCCTGGGTCAAAAATAGATTTGGAACATTTACCCTAAAGCACTCACAATGTGGAAGGCTTTATTTTCATGGCCACCCTCCACCATTACTTTCAACCACAATAGATCTCAGAGCTATAAACATAGAAAGTGACGGCAGATAAGAACCATTCGGCCCATCTAGTCTGCCCAGTTTTCTAAATAAATACTTTCATTAGTCTCTGGCCTTATCTTATAGCTAGGAAAGTCTTGTGCCTAAACTCCTTTACGGTGTTAAAGGATCACTATAGTTTCAGGAAAAAACTCGTTTTCCTGACAATAGATCATCCTTAGGATCCCCCCACCCTCAGGGTCCCCCTCCCTTGGCGCTGAAGGGGTTAAAAAGCACTTCAGCACCGGGCTCCCTTGGTGCTAGTGACCTCTCCTTCCCCACCGATGTCAGCTCCCGAGTGGAATGCGCATGCGCGGCAAGAGCCGTGCGCGCATTCAAACGGTCCACAGGAATGCATTTCTCAATGCTTTTCTATGGACGTTCTGCACGCTGGATGCAAATTGTACCTTTAACCTCTACCACTTCAGCTGGAAGGCTATTCAATGCATCCACTACCCTCTCAGTAAAGTAATACTTCCTGATCTTTTTAAACCTTTGCCCCTCTAATTTAAGACTATGTCCTCTTGTTGTGGTAGTTTTTCTTCTTTTAAATATGGTCTCCTCCTTTACTGTGTTGATTCCCTTTATGTATTTAAATGTTTCTATCATATCCCTTAGTCTCGTCTTTCCTCCAAGCTATACATGTTAAGTTCCTTTAACATTTCCTTTTAAGTTTTATCCCGCAATCCATGAACCAGTTTAGTAGCCCTTCTCTAAATTATCTCTAAGGTATCAATAGCCTTCTGAAGATACGGTCACCAGTACTGCGTACAATACTCCAAGTGAGGTCTCACCAGTGTTCTGTACAATGGCATGAGCACTTCCCTCTTTCTACTGCTAATACCTCTCCCTATACAACCAAGCGTTCTGCTAGCATTTTCCTGCTGCTCTATTACATTGTCTGCCTATCTTTAAGTCATCAGAAATAATCACCCCTTACTCCCTTTCCTCGGATGTTGAGGTTAGGACCCAATCAAATATTCTGTACTCTGCCCTTGGGTTTTCGTATAAGAGTATTTTTTTTTAAACAAAAAAAACTACAAAGTAAAAAAAAAAAAATATATGTGTATTCATAAAATGATAGCTAACATACCTAACAAGTTGGAGATTTGCCCAGTTCATGTTTTCCATTCACGGTTTAATAAATACAATTCTCCAGAGTTTAAACTTGTTCTACAAGCTGGCAGCTAGGTAAACGCACACACTGAAACATTGTTTAGCTTGAAGATACATCACTTATCTCCCTGTTTGCCTACAGATTCACTTTAATTCTACAGGTAACTAACCTAGCAATCAAATGGAGGAGCCATTTCACAGTTATTTTCACAAGGTGAGAGGTCACCCCTGGAGGCCAATTCAGTGATTGTGCAAGAGGTAAAGCCAAGGATTACAGACAGGGAACACCTGATAAAAAAAGGCATGTGAAAAGACACAGATTAGCAGATAAGAAATCAAAGCAGGCATGCAAGATTATCATTCCTCCATTCCCTGAGGCCAAAACCTGTGAGGTAGCTCACAACCAGCTTCAGCCGGTCTATATTAAACAAACATATAGATCTAGCTCAAAAATGTTATGGTGGGGAAAAATTGTGATTGAAAACCCCATTCCACCTGAAGTCTGTGGATGGTCAATGTTAAACAAATATCTGCACACCAGTTAAGCCATATGACTTGCTTTCCCCACAGAAATCTCAAATCTGCAGTTATATTACTGTGAAGATCATGCCCAGAATCCTTTGCGGTAGAAACATCACTGCAAATTTGTGATTTGTGTGGGAAAAGCAAGTCGTATGGCTTGACTGGTGTGCAGATATTTGTTCAACAGTGTACTGAATATATATATATATATATATATTTTTTTTTTTCCTCATGCAACGGCCTGAGCGTATAGAATGCAGTGGCATTCTATACGCTCACACAGAGAGATTCCTGGAAATTTTTATATTTACTAATTATAACCACAATTGACAACTTTAATAACTGGTCGAAAGTGAATAAACATCGTCCCACAACACTAACTCAGGTTTGTAAAAAAATAAATAAAATAAAAATAAAAAATAAAAAACACCTCTATGTCTTGGATGCAAAGAAAAAGTTTCATAAAAATACCAGTTTATCTACATTGTGAAAAGGTTTATTGGAAATAACCATGTGATAGGGATTGGCAGTGTTAGTCACTAAAAGTTGCAAGTCATAGTCTGAAGTAGCCAAATAGGAAAATCCCCATGCTTCCAAACTGTCCCTGCTTCTGTAGGAGAGCCATGATTTTGAATTCCAAGTCCTGCTGTTCTACTTTTGCTCTCAGAGGTCCTGCTCTTGGGTTCACCAGAAGCCTCTGAATGAACAGCATTATTACAATTAAAGACGCATCCACTCTGAGTTATACTACTGCAGAGCATTTTCCACACACATGACCACTCAAACAGGTCTTAGAGAGAGGACTTAGCTTGCAGGTGACCAGTCAAGTGATGCCTCATCCTGGGGCATTTTTTATAATCATTGATACAACAGATAATCTATATGCTTCCATGCTAACTTGCCCCATCCTGGGGCAACAGTCCACCTGGCCAAGCCATCAACCCGTTGCATTCTGGGGCGACAGTCTGCCTGGCCAAGCCATCAACTCATTCCATCCTGGGGCGATAGTCCGCCTGGCCAAGCCATCAACTCATTCCATCCTGGGGCGATAGTCCGCCTGGCCAAGCTATCAACTCATTCCATCCTGGGGCGATAGTCCGCCTGGCCAAGCCATCAACTCATTCCATCCTGGGGCGATAGTCCGCCTGGCCAAGCCATCAACTCATTCCATCCTGGGGCGACAGTCCGCCTGGCCAAGCCATCAACTCATTCCATCCTGGGGCGACAGTCCGCCTGGCTAAGCCATCAACCCATTCTATCCTGGGACGACAGTCCGCCTGGCCGGGACAACTTCCCACTTCAAACCTCCCCATCATGTTACAATTCCCTGTTTGGCCATGCCATCAACCCTCCATAATGCGGCAACTGTCCGCCTGCCCAGACCATCAACCTGCCCCATCATGAGACAACTGACTGGCATGACATCAAATCACCCAGGAGATAATATTACACTGCCAATAACATCCTGGGGTAAACATTAATCAACCCTATACTTTACCCACCTCCCAGGGCAAATATTTTAACTGAACCTGACATCCACCCACCCCTTAGTATAAATATTAAAGTGTCATGACATCAGCTTACCCCCTAGGTGTAATTACCAGAGTACCAAATCATAGTAACAGTCACCAACCACTGGGAAAGCTTATTAGACACTCTAGAACTTCTTTAACGATAACCATAACAGCCATAATGTCCCCTAGAGTATTTACTATGTGACTCCCAATCCTGGCTCTCACTTCCAGCTTGTACCCTTTATTGTTAGACATGCTACTCACCGTCTGAGGAGGGGTCCCTATCAAAAGCTCCAGGTAATATCCTCTGCCAGAGTCCCCTTCTAAGTTGTCCACCATTGCCAAGAAGTCGATTTGGCCAGGATCCGAGGCAAAAGACAGTCCCATGGGATCACCCTCAACCTGGGGTTTCTGAGTGGCTGGCACGACGTTCCTCACCTGGGCAGCAGAAATGCTTAGAGGGAACGTTAGCTTCTTAGCCAAGCAGGCAGCCCCCAGCAAGAGCAGGGTGAGAGCCTGCAGGGGACCCTTCATCATGCAGCTATCCAGGAACACAGATCAGAAGAGGGGGGGATCCAAAGTCCACATATCTCCTTCTAAAGCCATTGAGGGTCCACATGGAGAGTCATGTCCTCATGAAGCAAGAGGGGTGGGGGGTAACCTAAAGCATGTCCCAGCCCCCTAGAAGGATCGCACAGCTCTTAAGTGAACTGCTAAATACTCGCACTGTCCAAGCCTAAACAAACGGATATGACTGGGAGGGGTTGGGAGAAAGTTTTACTAAAACTCTTAAAGAAACAAAGTCCTGTTAGAAAGAGCAAATAGACTCTACACAGGCAGAACATGCCCTCTCCTGGCTGACTGGACAAAGGGATACAAAGTAACAACGTAGACAACAGCAGGAAGAAGAACGATCGATTCTATTTACAAAACAACTGATACAAACTAACAATATAAATACCAGGAGGGAGAAGGATAGTGTCTGTGTTGTTTGTAAGAGCTGTTGTACTGTGTAAGTGGGAATGTTTGTTCACACTGCTCTGATGTCTTCATATATTGCACAAAAATATTACACTACATTTCACAGCTTTGTGTTTAGACCACTGTTAAGTTAATAGACCCTACAGTTGATTTTGCTCATATTCACACTATGATGATGACAACAAATATAAATTAACTGAATAAACACTGTAATATACTATTTATTATTAAAGGTATAACAGGGTTTCTTTCTAATTCCAGCAGGCAAACCCCTAATACAGAGGGCTTTTCCCCCACTGTTTCCCAAGTCCTCTAATTTTGCCCCCTCAAAGCGCAGTGCCTATAATGTATAATGCCAGCACAGGGTGTAGTTATACAGGTAATAAAATAAAATTGACACTACTCTAACATGGATAGAGTACGTACAGGGCTTCAAAATAAACATAATAACTGTTTTTATTTTAAACAGATATGAGCAACAACATACAGTCAGTGTTTCAGTCCCATTATCTAGATTTCTTGTGAAAAGTCCAGTAATGGGATTGAATTGTTTACTGTATGTCGTTGCACGCCTGTTGCCTGATTATAATAAAGACGTTATTTTGTTTTTATTTTAGAATCCTAGGACAGTGTTATTAACTAAAGTGAGAATTCAAAGTGCATTTAAAAATGTCTGACCAAAGTAGCAGAAATGAAAGTATAGCAGACTACGAGAATATTTTTTGTTTCACAATTAAATTTCAAATTCACTTTGGATTTCCGTTTAATTATCACTTTAGGAAATAACCATGTTCACTAAACTAAGAATTTCAGTGACTGAAATCTTAATAGAAACATTTGGCTAAATTAGTCAAACTATCACTACAGCTGTTTTGAAGCATGTTTTCCAAATCAGCTGCTGTGTTCTAAATTCTTTGTATTTTAATTTAACACACACTGGTATGCACATTGGCACACACACTGACTCATCCAACCACTGATACACAGTCGTCAATGTGACTCCCACACACTCACATTATTACAGTTAACACACTATCACAGACATACACAGTGACCCATGCAAACGCACTTGCACACACCCTGACCCATCCAACCACTGACACACAATCTCAATGTGATTCACACGCACTCACATTATTACAATTAACACACTGTCACAGACATACACAGTGACCCATGCAAACACACTTGTACACACACTGACTCAGCCAACCACTGACACACAATCTCAATGTGATTCACACGCACTCACATTTTTACAATTAACACACTGTCACAGACATACACAGTGACCCATGCAAACACACTGACACACAGAGTGATCCATAAAACCAGTGGCACACAATCATCAATGTGCCTCACACACTCACATATACTCATTAACACACTGTCACAGACATACACAGTGACCCATGCAAACACACTGACACACAGAGTGACCCATAAAACCACTGACACACAATCATCAATGTGACTCACACACACTCACATATACTCATTAACACATTGTTACAGACATACACAGTGACCCATGCAAACACACTGACACACACAGTAACCCATAAAACCACTGACACACAATCATAAATGTGAATCACACACAATCACATATACTCATTAACACACTGTCACAGATATACACAGTGACCCCTGCAAACACACTGACACACACAGCGACCCACACAAACACACCGACACACAATCACTAATGCACATTCACTTACTAACACACTGCCACAAACACTCACATACACTTATTAACAAATACTGATATATATATATATATATATATATATATGCACACACGCAGTAACCAATACACACACACTGTCCCATGCACATACAGACACATAACGCTTAATCAAGCTCTCCCTTGTCAGAGCTGATTTCCTAGCCTGCACAGAATGTTGACATCATGATGCATCCTGTCATCTCTGTGAATTGTGGGGAACAGTTGACATCTGGCGCTCCTCCTCACCAGCCACAGGATAGAGTAGTCTGGGATGGCCCACCAGTAGGCTAGTATGTTTCAACATATTGCCTGGTGGTGCCCCAGGGACATCTAAGCCTCATAGCACTAGTCCATCCTCTGCTCCCCCTATCACCCCTCACTAAACCTCTGATTGTAAATAAAGGAAGTTCCTTCAACATTTTCCTAATTTGCTCCTTAACCATCAAAAACATTATATTAGAACACATTCATTTGTATTTGCAGTGATGAAATTTACTAGTTTAATGCATTTCTACTAGTGCTAAATGGTAAAAACACTATTATTATTATAGTAGAATTCATACCCAATCACATCTTTTGAGCTGACTCCTAAGTGTGGCTCCCAATTTTAGAGCATTTATTTTCCGAACATAAAATGCAGAATTTGCATTACACTGGAACAAAAACACGTGACACATAGTTAAAGGGACACTTTGGTAACCAAAACAACTTAATCTAAATGAAATTGTTATGGTGCCAGGAGCCCCTTGGGTGCACTCTTACCTTAAAGGGTTAAAACATTATTTAGTAGCGTATTTTTTTTATCAATAGGGAGCTACTGATGGGCTTAGAGCATCAGCTGACAGCTCTAAGCCAATCATTGGTGCCCCTGCCCAGCAGCACTCCGCGCTTCCTGAAACTGAGATTTCATAAGCTGACTGGGGGATCTGTAGATGGGCACTGGAGGCACACTTTCTCAAATGGTTTAACCCAGTGGTTCCCAAAATGTTTAGGTTCACGGCGCCCTTAATATTTCAATATTTTTCCAAGGCACCTTAAGTCAGAATTTCTAGGTTGTATATCTGTACAGTGCTGTGGCATTTAATGGCGCTATAGTTATATGTACAGTGTTGGTGTTTGAAGGGATGCTTGTATAAGTAATTGTGTTTTATACAGGGGTGTGTTTGTTTGTAATGTTTGCGTTTGATTGCAGGGGTGTGTCTGAATGTAATGTTCACTTTTAAATGTGGATGTACATTTGTGTGATGTATTTGTGTTTGAGTGAGGGGGTGTGTTTGTATATATTTTTTTTTTAGTTTGAATGCAGGGGTGTTTGTATGTAATATGTGAGTTAGATTGCAGTAGTGTGCTTGTATATTGTACTGGTGTTTGACTGCTTGGATGTATGCACATGCACTACCACATACATACATACATACTTACACAGATATTCATGCACATTAACACACAAATGCATATAAATACACGACACATACACACAAATTCATATAGACACCGACACATACACACATAGATACACACCGACTTATACACACTTGCACCCTTACACACACAAATATTGATACATGCCCACACCATGACACAGATACACACTGACATGAAAACACAAACCCTAACACACAGACGCACATACACAGATGTGTGCGCAGACACAGAAGCACACTGACATATATATATATATATATATATATATATACACACACACACATGCAGATGCACACCCTGACACAAACACACTCACAAACACCCTGACACTCACACACACACACACACACACAAACACTCATACACAAACACACACTCATACACATATACAAACTCATACTCACACACACACTCGTACTTACACACACTCATACTCACACACACTCAAACTCATACACACACACACACACACACAAACAGACAATCACACACATACACAGACTCATAATCACACACATACACACAAACTCACACACAGTTATACAGACACATACACACTCTCATACTCACACTCATACTCACACACACTCAAACTCATACACACACTCACACACATACAAGTGATTTTTTTTTTTTTAATATCTCCAGCCACACTCCTGTCAGCTTACCTTATGTGCCGGGAGGGTGGCTTGGAGTCCTGCTGCTGATGGGAGTGAGGGAAGTTGTTTGTGTGTTTGAATGTAAGTATGTGTTTGAATGGAGTATGTGTGCGTGTGTGAATGTAGGAGTGAATTTGCGTGTAGTGTTTTGTGTTTTTATGTACTGTTTTTTAGTAAAAAATAGAATGACTCACCGATTCACACACTGACGACCATGCAAATACACAGACACACACACTAACACACATATAGATATACACATACAGATACACACACTGCTGCCCATGCAAATATGCACACAGACACACACTAACACACATGCAGATACACAGAAACACAGAATGACATACAGATACACAAAATGACATATAGATTAACATAATTACACACATACAGATACAAAGACACACATATACACATACACAGAAACGCATTTAGACACACAGATAGATACACAGACATACATATAAGCATACAGATAGTTACACGGGCACACATACAGACACAATAAATTGGGTCAAGGCACTCAGGATGGCTGCAGCTTGATAAAGGCTTCTGTGTAGGCTGAAATGTTGCAGTTCTTGTTCCAATAAACCTGCCTTCCTACCGAAATCCTGAGTGCCTGAACCCAATCTATTTTATCTATTAAACTGGGTTTTGCCAACCCTGGAACTGATAAGCACCTGGATTTCGAAGTGTGAGAGCGGAGACTCCATTTCTGAAATAGCACATACAGACACCGACATACATATGGACACCAAGATACACAGACACACCTACAGACACACAGATAGATACACAGACAAACACAAACAAACACACATGTATGTTACGAACCACCTGGCATCCCGAACAGGTGCCTCCGCCAATCACCGCTTCCTAGTGCTCACCAAGTACTCCAAGCACTCCACCAGACACCATCAGCACTGTAGTCCACACTTCCAGCGTTACAGCTTGGGCTCTCGCCGTCCTCCACCACCCTGGACCCATCCAGCTTCCAG